ACACTTGTCAGTCGTTTGCAAGTTCAAATTTCTGTCCAGAAAAATTTTCGTGACTGCATTAAAAAGTTCACTGCTAACCTAACGACTGCCTTCTTCTGGGAACTTCTAGCAACACGGAGACATCCTTCCTTACAAGTTCAGTTACTAACTAAGTGAAGCAGAAAATGTTTGTAGACATCACGCAAAAATACACAAGTGGCAAAATGATGACATGGGTAAAGCCGAAAACGTAAAGCCTTTATATGTCACAAGTCAGATGAAAATGTTCTTTGACATTTATAAAATATTGCAAAACCTGGGAGGATAAGAAGGTTCATACCGAGACAAATAACATTTTGTACAAATAACAGTAGAACAAACACCGTATAGTCTCAACAGAGGACTTGATTACTCTTTATGTCACAAGCCAAATGATAGCCTTTTGTGTAATTAGTTTTAAACATTTCTCATATCGGTTTATATATGATTCTAACCCCGAAGCATCCAAACGTAAATGGAACAAGACTTATGGTCAAGAACAAGACTCGCGGATAAATTTAACTTCACAGTTATTTCTGGTCGTTTATCGACCTACTGAAAGCAGTGTGACAACTAACAAAGAGTCGACTATTCTTCACCCCTGAAATAACCGGGCGATTGTGAGTGCAATTTCATACCTTGTCCACAAATATTTGCTCATCACATATTTTGATATGAGAGCATAGATTCGTGCGCGATATCGTGTGTTCTAAACTCGGAGTGCGTTACATTGTGCTACTATTTTGTTAGACGAAGTAAGAACTTAAGATCATGAACTTGAATTCCAAAAATAAAATCTTACAACCTATCCAAAGTTTAAAAGCGTTTCTGTTGCGATAGATTGTTCTAAACAGCACCAAGTTAGTGTTATGCAGTTCAGTATTTCATAAGTGGGGTTCTGAAATCTGTGTAATAAAACAAGGATCAGCCCTATTCTGTGTAGGAATACCACTTAAGACAAAGCCATTTGAAAGCCAACATAAACTACAGTTTATATATGAGTGCCATGTCGTGTTACGTCTTAGAACCAATTTATTTATTTGCTTTCATGTTGTGACAGTACGGTTTTAGTCCTTCAGTGATGTCTGTAGAGGTTGGTTTAGATCACAAATGGCCGTATTAAATTCAAAAGATGTTTGGAGGTTGGTGTGTAATATGTTCAAATGGTTGCGTTCACAAGAAACAGAGGAGTTCTGAGGAACTTTAGAGGATACTATCTCAGCAACCAGCCACGTGGACCTAACATAATCACACAATTAGAGTAGAGCAAGAGTAAAAAAGCTTATCGGTCAAGAAGAGATAAAAGTAATATCGACGCGAAAAATAGTAAGAAGGGATATATCTTAACACACATAAGCATTTATATTAGGATGTGAGGAAGTACAGGATAGTTCATTTTGGAAAACTTCGTATGTGACAGGAGATGTGGTGAGGATAATCATATCGAACGTGAAACAATCCTCCTATGCTTCAAACGGATGCGGCTCATTGAGTCGGTCTATCCGTTCTAGCAGCGTCAAAGTTCAAAATACTTCGTGGTGTTAAGTTTATGTAGCCAGATAACGGAACAGTACGGAGGTAGTACAATCGGAAATATTTATTTTTTCTGTCGTTATACTCAATATTTGGAGGTTGAAAGTCTGAGTATTTGAAGGCAATCTCGATCTTAATTACGTGCCGCTTTTATTGGGAACGATGGGCCTGTAACTGTCAATCAGTATGTTGTAGTCATAATACTTATAGTTTGTTTTCAGATAGGAATATGTGACATGGGGCATTCCAGTTTACAGACGAGACCTGATTGCTATAAATGCTACAGGATTTATCGCAATGAGTTACATAGTTGTGTTTATTATGAAAGATGTTGGCTCTTTAAACAGCGGAATAACTTTTCATACGTTAGAATATGAATAATCTTAGTAGGGCTCGAATGTTAAGTTTATGGGTTGATGTACTTTATTAAGATTTGATTGCAATGAGTAGCTGGTGGTCAATAATGGATCCAAGTGGAGCCTAGAGCTGTTTATGACGATAAGCAACTAAGCAGTTAGGTAAATCAATAAACGGTCAGTTAAAAACGTTAACCTGAACATATTATTTTCTGTTTCTTGACAGTGTTTACAGATAACAATGCTAACGAGCTTTTAATGGGTACAACCGTGATTTTTTCTGAAATATCAGAAGTGGTAATGATAGTGTGAGACGAAGCCAAGTGTTTCATAAATGTGATTAAAGTGGTATGTCACAAGGATGCTGTTTTTCACCTAAACAACTACTATTATTTCACCTCCTCAGAACTGTTCGGTCACAGATCGCGCAGGGCAACTATTTAATGTTTGTAAAAAGTAGCTACGCCTGTTCGCAGACGATAATCCATGGTTGCTTACACGATTATTGAGCCTTTAGTTGAAACCATCTACTGAAGAATACAGTGTCACTTTGATTGAGAAAGCATTTTAAGTAGGACAAACTTGGAGCCAAAAATACGAGAACTCACATGTCTCCTCTCTTTGACGTCTGATTATTTGAAGGTCTCTTCGTGGAACATAACCATGGGCTTAAGGTGCAAGCGCTTTGCTGGATTAGTCCGGTCCACTTATCATGCTATTCACCATGACCAGGTCACCTTTGCTGTAAGGGGGGACTCTTGCTTTTCTGTAGTAGGAAGGAATACTAATTTACATCTTAGCATTCTGGTTCACAAACTGCTGTGACTCCTTCACTGTTCGGGTAGTTGCAGATATCCTTAGAGCTGCAGTGAATCTCTACCATTTATAAAAGTTCACTATAATATAATGTTGTCTGTGTAGACGACAGTTTATGAACTAAAGTATTTTAAGGGATCCGTAGTGGAATCGGTGATTAGTGTACACCTTGGGATAGTTTCTTGTTGTACCCCCGTTAGAATCACAGTTCACTCTCGAATCTATAGGTTTGTTTTTGAGTCAGAACGGGAGTTCGTCTTTGAATCCCATTAATGCCAGTTTTGCTACATGGACAGAGAGAGAGTCAAGCGTCTATGAGGGTTAAGAAATGGTGGATGCGTAGACACTTTCTGGTCATAGAAATCTAATTCTTCACAATATAAGAGCGTTTGCAGTAAAGAACTCGCGTAAGTTTCATTGGCAAAAGTCTGATGTCGTTGAATAGCAATGTCAGTGTTTAAATACACTAACCCATCCGTTATATGGGAAAGTGAACAATATTTAAAACAGTAGTGATAAAAAAATTATTTAGGAAACAAAGAATAGTTAACCACGATGTTACAGTTGTTTTTAGGAATGTTGTTGGTATGGATGATTGTTATGGCTAAGAATTAGAACCGCTACTATCTATTCATTGAATGGAACAAGAACAACATGGCGCGATAAAACAAATAACGCATGATTGTAAGTCAGTGTTTCCTATGTATGAACTCCTGACTGCAACGGTGAAGCACAACTGATAAAAAAACCAAAATGTGCTGTGAAATATGTCACTTAAAATATTCGGTCATTAATTAAATTTGAACGAGCAGAACATGATATTAATTAGTCATCGGTTTAGTGAACGTATCCAATTCGTAAAATTAACAGTTCGAATTGATCTAACTAAAAAACGTAACTAAACTACCAAATCATGTATTCTGTTATTATATAATGAACATGCACAAATTATTATTGCACGACAAGCTTCAATAAAATTTAGTTTCACGATTAGAGTGAATTCCAACTCATAATGTACTACTCTGCACTCCACAATATGATAGTTATGAATGGCTAACAGTGGAGTTTTGAAGCGACCAAACAAAGATCAAGTGGGATCTCCAATGCCACAGTGTTATTACTTTAACGATGCGACAAGTGTTCGGATTTTGAAAACGGCTTTACATGTAACACTTATATAATCGAAGTATGCCAACCCAGTCAAATCTGAAGTCAGAGGTGAAGAGGTTCGAAGATGCGTTTAAAGAGCTATCGGTATCTCGGGAAGCATTTAATTTAAGCTGGCTAACGGTTGTAGGCGATGAGTAGCACGTGAATGCATGAATGAGGGCCTTCAGCTAGGTTGTGTCCAGTAAGGTCAGCATCGAATATTGAAGACTTACAAAACTACTTATTTTGGAGACTCATTCTGGGCGACAACACTTACTTTATCACTCCGATATGTTAACTTAAATGCGACCGTCATAAGGTGCTGAGATGGTATATTTTAACCGCATCTTTGCAATCTTCTGATAACCATAACCTTAATAATTCTCATGATCTCTAACTAGAATTAGTGCCACTAGAGCAATGAATACGAAGCAATTGTATTAAAATCAGCATACAAAAATTTAAACAGAAAGTCTTTTGTACTCTAGATGAGCAGCGCACTCACTTATACTCAATACGTAAGAACCCATAAGCAAATATCCAATTAATTAAGAATTCTGCAGTCGGATGTTAGGAGTACTCTGTTTTTATGATGTCTAATAGCCCGGAACAGAAAGTTAACAAGACACGAGAGAAGATAAACTGACTAATATGCAGTACTTATAATGATATTGGGTATTGTTTCTTTGATCGTGAAAAGGTATAACACTCTTCACACTTGTCTTTTCAATAGACGACATATACTCCCTGAGACTAAACAGAATACAAGAAAATATAACTTACATGTTAGATGAGGAAATCTCAGCAGTTAAACAACCACTTTCAGAATAAGATTTTGTGGAATTCACTATTGGATCAGTAGTAGTTACAGTCTCAACTGACTTCCTTGAAGAGTGTAGAACGATTTGGGTCTGAAAAAGCTGAAGAACACACTACTAGTCCAACTCGTTACTGGTTAATGTATACTAACATTTATCGTCCCAAACTGGAAAAAAAGATAACTGTACACGATATAGAAGATTTTAGAATGGTGAATAGAAATGTCAACGACTTTATCAATAATCCTAAATTGTGAAGTTCGTCATATTTGTTTTATTGAATGATCCTATCAAATTAGTGTTAGTAACGCCTCAGAATACATTTGATTTTCATATGGCTTTGGATGCAGTGCAAAATGTTGAAAACTACATTCGAGACATTGCAAAAGATCGTCGATGCAGATTTGATGAAAACTTTCTTGATTACGATAACTTAAGATCTGGATATGTCACCGGTAATATAGTATAAACATGAATTCATTAGTTTCAGGAAACCAATTCTTAAGAATCTTAAGAAATCTCATCGGTGTCCCACTTGACGTTTCACAGGAAAAACTTATTTTAAAAAAATACGGAATTGATGGGAACCGATATATTAACTGGAGGAAATTTGTTCGTGAAATAGAAGGTAAATATAATGAAAATGATTTTAGTGTAACACCGGAATCCAAGGTTCTCCAAACAATCGAGTAATTTATTTATTACCTTTAACCGATTAGATCTCCGATAGTGGGCACAAAATCACGGCATAAGCTGTACAATGATGAAAAACTGGATTATATAAAACCACTGCTTTCCAGAATCAATCAATTCATCTCTAACCAAGGTTATATAATACGCCAATGTTATAAACAGTATGATGTTCATAACTTAGGTGAAGTGACCGAAAGCCAAGTCTGTTAATTTACATAACTTTTCAACAGATGTTTGCAGTTTTTCAGAGGGTTTCCTGGTCCGAAGGATATCAGTGATGAAGAAATGATGTCACTCGTTCAGCGTTATAAATCACTAACTAATCCTGGTTTTGTAGATTATCTGGCTTTTGAAAAAGACCTTAAAACGATTGACTCATACGAAGAGGCTTTGGAAGACAACACGAAACTTGTAGTAAGTCTTAGTAAATATATTAAGCCTATAATAATTATATTTTATGTTACATGAGTACTAAAATTATATTTATAACGTCTTGTCGCCTAATGTAAGCCATTTATTCGGAGCGAATAAACAGCTGAATTAAGTCAACACAAGTCCAAATAGTATAAATAAACCGATGCAGAATATTTTCGGCACAATCAAATTCTAATAGGCCTAAATACTTCAATGTCAAGTGATTCTTGGTCAAGGTCAATTTGTATGACCTGTTACCGTATTAATTTGTTTGTCAGAGTGTGGGTATCGAAGACGTTTGCCTTTGTAAAATCAAGTAGATGTGTGTAGATTGTGTGGAAAATAACTAAGGTCAGATATGGCTGTGTGGTGTGTGTTACTAATGTACACATAAGTAATAAATAACGATAGTCAGGAATAGAATGTATTTCAGTAGAAGATCGAGAAGGAAAGAACGAGAACGGAAGGCAGTTGGCATGAAAATGCAGAAACAATGAAATCTGAGACGATGGATTGATATTTGCAAAGGAAATAGTCAAGCTTGAGACAATGGATTGATATTTTGCAAATTGAAGATTTACTGTATGGTTCTCAGATTTTAGTGAGATATTCTGTAATCTCGTGTTCAGATACATTCGGTTGTCGCCACTCATGTTCATATTCACTACTCTTGTATGGATCAATAATCCAGGTTGGATGAATATTCAGACCTTATTTCCGATTGAGGGCAGAAGAATTTAGCATTACATGAAACGCTTCGGATACTCGCCTCTATATCTGTAAAGGCTTTTCTGATTTATTTTAGTATTTTTAATATCGATTTGGTGACTATTGAAAAAAGCATGTGCTGTTATCGCTGATTAACTTGTAAAATGTCCAATTCTGTAGGATTAGCAGGTCTTTTTGTGTACCTTAAGTGTTCCTTGGCACGTGTTGAGATCTCGCTGAAAGACTCTTTACCATAGAACGCACCGAAATCAACACAATCTAACCTGTATACATAATTTTGTATCTAAAGCTAGTCATATATCGAAAACCAACACATTGATTTTAAGTCTGCATATCCATTCAATGCAAAAGGTTCGCTAGTGCTGAATCTTTACAAAAAAGTGATCAATATCATTACTTCAGAAGAAAACGAACTAAAATAAAACTAAGTTATAATAAACATCTTACATCCTAATAAGTTTCTTAAGAATATTATTAAAAAATATCTTAAAACAAAACTGTCTATCTGTTAATAACAGTCCTAATGAAAGATTTTGAAATGATACTTCGGTTTTTCGTTACCGCCAAGGTACGGCAAAAGCATTATATGCTAAATTAAATTACGAGACAACTAACACACCAATAAACGTTTTAGTTAGAGCAAAAATACAGTTTTGTTCACTTCTACACAAAACTGTGTCTACAGATTAGAAATACAATTATTCTGCTCATTGGCGTGTAACAAAAAAAACATTTTTATTATTAACTTTCCACCCTATGTTGAATTTATTTGAAGCTATCAATTTCAACCTTGGTATTGATACCTATGAAATCTCAAGTTTGTGTTCTTTAGCACATAACTTTTAGAGTAAAAACTTCATAATCAATGTTTTACTTTGATAGTTGTATTACTTAATTGATATGAATAATTTCAACCTTAAAGCCCATCCATCTGGTCTATACTGCTTCAGTTGTTCGCAAATGCGCATTATGGAATCTAGGTAAATTAAAGTCTACGAAAAATGCCGAAATGCTATATTTGACACTGATAATAACTTTTCAAAAGCCATGATGGGATACTGTGTAAATACATACAACTATTGAATCAGAACTTTGAGTGCAATTGTTAAATACAAACTTCAAACCCTTGGCCCCAGTAATAGTATTGTAGTTTAACGAAATAGGGATTATGAGTAACTAACTTAAGTTTGTCTCTTATCCAAACCAAAAAATGGGCTTCTGGAAATTAATACATCTTTTGTGAATGAATAACAACTAAGTCATCATTTGCTGTGATGCCAACCGAAATCTGTAAAAATAATTTCGAAAGTATTACGTCAAATGTTTAAAAACGGAACGACAGTAAAAGTTCGTTTCAAACGTAACATGGGTTCACGAACTCGGTGTTTTATAACTTGAAGGATGATAAATGTTTACCAGTTAAGATACTCATAACAGCTGAAATAGGTATCTAAAACGGTGCATAATTTTAATGCAAAATTTGTCCTACTGAAGAGAATGTATCTTGTCTATATCTGGTTTAAAATCTCAAGCGTTGTCTTTGTTTCAGACTTATCCCATTTACAAATTGATGGTTTATTGCTAGTATTTATTAATTATATTCTCCTTTGGCTACACTCAACTCAATATGATAACTTTAAGGAATGACTTTTTGTATCAAGTTTGTTGTTAATAATATTAGTGGAATCCTAACATATTATTATGACTTTAAATTGGAAATGGACTTGGATCATGTATATGTGGCTGAATAATACTGTTTTATGTATCATACTGTGCATTTAAATTTTTATCCTTATGCAGAAAGACAGAGATATTGGTCATATCTCCCAGAAAGATAATTTATTAATTCCATCACAACATATGATTGTTGACCGCATAAAATGTACTATTCGGAAACGTGGTATACGTGTTATGGACTTTTTTGTGGATTATGATAAATTAAAACATGATGAAGTAACGGAACATCAGTTCACATGTGCTCTCCTATCATCTGTTGGTAAGGAAGCCAAATTAAGTCGCGAGGAGGTTCAAATGCTTGCAAACTACTACCGTTCAACAACAAACCCTCAGTTCATTAATTATCGCGAATTTTGTAGAGAAATTGACTCACGTAAGTATGTAAAGAATGATTGTTTTTTGTGAAGATATTTTAATGCGTCTATAAAAAGTTTACTTACAGAAAGAACGATGTACATATTATTAAAAACCTTTTGTTACTGTGGAAAAGTTATGGAGTGGACAAGAACAACCGTTTTAAGATATATTCACATGCCTGATAATTTATAATTTCGGTCAGCAAACCAATCTATCTCACTTACCAAAGCTTTATTGAGTGAGATAAAAGAAAAATTTCCTGAAGTAACAATATTCAATGCTAGATTGAAGCATGATGTAATAAGAAACGTAGAATTTAGTGTACGAACCACATTCTATCTTCGTGAGACAACATTTGTCTCAATGTTACTAGTCCAGGACTATTAATCGAACATGTTACCCCACCATCGGATTACTATCTCATCCTGATGAAGAAAAATGATTTTATTTATCTACTATACTTGGCTGATTGTGATACTTAGAAGTATTTGAATTATAGTATAAACTAAGAATTCCGGAAATAACGCAATTGGATCAAGAAGTGCTATATAGGCACGAACGAATGTACTGTATTTGGAATTCAAAACCAAGCATCCAACAAGTACAAAGGAATCATTATTTCATCCAAACAACACACTGATTCATGACTAATGATGATTTCTTTCCACCGATAACTTTCTTGAATGTTGAAGTTCTGGACATTGGTTTAAAAAGTTTTATTTTGTACTTTTTACTACTGAGATATTTTAAGTAGTTGGAAATTATAAAGATCACTGAGGTTCACGAAAAACTCGTATGATTGAGTATCTTGATATCTATAGACTTTTATCAGGATGTAAAACTATTTTCATTTCCCCTACACAATTCATCCTATGTTCTCCTCTTTTGCGATGGGAGATTTTCCTTCGATCGTCTTGTTGAATCCATGTAAATAATGGTTTTTATGTTTTGACATTACCAACCAATGAACTGACTAGGACGGCTTAGAACTTTTAAATACATACGTAGGTTGGTTAACAAGGATAACAGTTGATGTGATGAGTTCCACATTCTTTCCACGTTATTGGGGCTTTCTCAAGTAAGTACTTGAGGATCTATGAACTTTCTGGCTTTTGTAGAGTTACTGAATTGTATCTCCCATATCGTTTTTTTCGTACAATCTAAACAATCCACAACAGTATTATATGTTTCATAAAGAATTTTGGTGATCAATTTCTGTTCATGAAGCCGCGAATCATACGATGTTACGTATAAACTGAAGAGAATATTAAGCACGATTAGTCTTTAGTATACAAATATCATCATCCTTTTATAAAAAATGACGTACACATATCCCATACCTTTTAACTGAGTAATTCTTCATCTGAATGTCCTAATCGAGGTTGTCAGCTTTCCGTATTAGTCTACCTTGTTCATAGAACAATACCACCATAGGTTTTACAGTAATTAGGTTACTTTCCCTTGACTTGATCTTTCTTTACTACGGTTCCATAGATGGATTACTATCATACTTCCCTATGTGTTAATAATTATTTTAATAACGACTGATTATCAGATTTAAAATAATATTCAATTCGACCTCTCTAATTCAGTCATTGTGTTGCATCTTTTGCTTGGTATCATTCACATTATTCTTATGACTTACAGTCATATATTCAGTGGTATTTCGTAAGAATATTCGACTCATAAATTCGTTAATCAAAGTGCTTAAATTGAACAATTCAGCTGCTTTTAAAATAGGAATTTCTGTCTTTGTGAAATTATAGAAACTCAAAATTTACTGTTAATTCTTATAATTATGAGTATCAGTTTTCCTATAATTTACGGAACTTACCTATGAAATCGCTTATATTGTTTCACATTAAAATCCGTTTTTAAGTTTTTTTAAGTAACTAGTTATTTCATTTACCCTTTTGTTTTTCACAGCTTTTCAGACGCTGTATTTGGAGAAGGATCCGTTAAAACCAATTACTATTCCAGCTAGAGGTGCACTTTCACAGGTAAGCGGAATGGCGATATCGTCTGAAATTTCAGGTAAAATTAGATACCTTAGAATTTGGATTGTCTTAAATTGTCAGTGAGCCTATAGTGTTAAATCTGCACACAACTAGTGTAAATTTGTCTTAAATAAAGTAAAAGTAGATTCTGTAGTCACCCAATGTTTCCTGATTGTGCTTCGTTAACTGAGTATTGTTAATATATCTACTGATTGGGTCTATATTATTCACCAGGGCAATTATCCTATAAAATATCTAAAGTCCTTCAGGAAGCCTATACACGTAGTTGTTGGCCTTAAGCTAGGATAAAATGTGTCCTACAACACTTTTTTAAGGATAGTTATGTGTGAAAAAGTAGCCTGTAATATAAAAACTCAGAGCAAACTATACTGTCAATCAGGTTTGAATAGTGACTGTTTTCTAATCAATACCAATCAACGCAACGAGAAAATGGTTGACTAAACTACTGATTACTTATCAGTGAGATAATGGTTTATCTTACATAAATGCTCAAAATAAAATGGCACGAGTGATAACTATTTAGCGTATAAAGTACTTAGTTAACTATAAATAGATGGTAATTAAGTAGTCGAAAAGTGGTTTACCTTGGTTATAACGTCACTAACGTTTACAGTATAATGCACAACCATGATAAGAAAGACGTTCCTTTATTCACCCAGGGAACAACTTTTAGCTAAGACAGTCTCACTGCTAATGCTCCAGGTAGGATATTCAGCCTAAGGTAATGTGACTTGAGTTCAAGTGTGTCAAATATGTTTTCTGACCACAGACACCGTCTTACAGACTGTGTTTACTTAAAGAAGTGATTAGTAATTAATCACTCCGTTTTCAATACAATTTTGCGAAGAATACTTAATAGAGCAACTTGATTGGTGAAAAGTGAACATCAACAATGAATTGTAATTTCAGCTTTTATATATCCTGATTTATTGATAAAATTAAATCAATCGAGAACAGGATTTTCGGAATAACATAAATTCATCATATTTCAAGGCTTTTCATCAGCTGCAAACGGCCTAAATTTACATTAGTAATATTATTATAAAAAGTTTTACATACTGTAATCAATGAAGTTTAGTTCGAAATGACATAAGAAACAAAAAGAGGTAACAAAATACTTAACATTGTAATATTTGTCCGGATTTTGGGATAAGTAAGGTAATAACGTTATGATATTCACTTATATAAACAACTGAAAATGAAGTACACTGAATAAAAAACTTTATGCTGGGGATACACACTAAGAATTATACATATTTTGATCAGTTATTTATACTATTCAGTTGTATCGCCGTTATCTGTTCTACCGAACCTAAAGATAACATTGTCTTAAGCTCTTTTTACATTATGAGATTTGTTTGTAAGATTCAATCTGAATTCGATTACTTAAGGAATCTGTTTAGTCATTTGAAATTATATATTTCTTTATCTAATCGAAAATGTCATATTTTGTTGAGTCCTAGTGGAAGTTTGATTTGACTTTTGCAAACTTAAATGGGAAATATTTAGCATGTTCTATAGAACTTGCAAAGTTGGAATTGTTACAAATTATATAACCCTTTTGGCAATATTTCAACAGCATCTATGCGTATTAAGCCAAGAAGATGAAGATCGTGTATCTAAACTAATCGAAGAAATCGGACGTCAAGTTCGTGAAAAAAGAATATTAACATATCCATATTTTCAGGACTATGATATGGTAAGCCAGTTTTTCATTACTGTAAAGACCTTCACTCATTAATTCTTACAAATTTTTAATACAAAGATGACCTGCTACAGACGGATACTGATTTAATAACCGATTAAAAAGGGTTACTTTATACCATTCAAGAAATATTTAGCTGACCTTACTGTTGATATTGTCTCGGGATGTAAAACAGAATCCTTGCGTTTTATTGAGTTTATCCAAGTTTTCATTATTTTAATCGAGATAAATAATCTGAATGTAACTCAATATCTTCACAAGCTCGTATAGTGCCGAAATTTTGAATTCATAATCGCATCACTATCGAATTTCAAAGATTATAAATGTATTTTAACCTCATAGTCCAATTGCTTGAAATTATTCATGAAGTATATTACACTTCTATTTGGTTTATTTAAATCAACTTTGTCATGCTTCATGTCGCTTTAAGAAGTGTAGTAGTGTACTAATCAAAACCCGTTTTGATTGATAAATGAACTGGCTATTTCTATATTCGTAGTTAATTATATCACTATACTATATGATCATATCCCTACATTTCTCCTAGCTATATTTATTACTCTTCAGTATTCTTCTGGGATTCTGGATAATACGAGGGTTGTCTTGATCTTAGACTAAAAAAATATTAAGCTAATAAGCACTCTTTACTTCAGCGATAGTGTCAAGATATCTTCCACAAATATGAGTCATTAAGGAAAGTCTATTGGTGAATCAGTCAAATATAAAACCTAAGAATTTTTCATCTGAAGAAAATTTCTATTTGCATCCGTGATCACTTTCCGTGATTCTTGCGAAAATCAAAGGCCTTTCCCTTGATTTTAAGTGCATATTCCTATTTTGGCTGATAAAACGAATCTTTTATACTAAACAAACTGTATAGTTGACTATTAATATAGTTCAATCAAATAAACCCTTACTCCGTTCAGATATTTAACCATCAATTTCAACTTGAAGTAACTAGTATAAACATTGTCAAGTTTTCCAATAAAAAATCTTTTTCGTGAAACCATTTTTCTAGGGATCATGTTTTTCGAGAAGTATTACTAATACACAATTTGAAAGAGTATTATACTTTCTTGGTTTGAATCTGAGTAAAGAAGATTGTCGTCGTTTATGTAGAAAATTCACCAATCCTACAAATGGTTGTATTAATTATGGAGCATTCTGCGAAAAGGTAGATGACTGGTTTACCGCTGCGGCCCCTGTCAAATTCGATGAAGATAATCCAGGAGATGTGAATTTTGAAGTATCAAACAAGGTTATAACAAAACGCACACCTGAAATAGGTGATACACGCTGTGGTAAAAGTGTAGTTCACCGAAATTGGCACTCAACAGTAATGCCAGTAATTATATCAGCTGGGGATCAATGGCCTGTTGAGGTTTTATTAAACCGTATCCGACATTTGGTTCTAGTTAACCGTATACCATTAAAACCTGGGTTTCATGATTTCGATCGTTTACGTAGTGGTTATGTTACACGATCTCAGTTTGAACGTTGTTTAACCGCCGCAGGGCTAACGCGTTTACACCTGCACGATCTTACACCGGCACAAATAAACATCTTGGCGGACAGATACGTGTCTTCAACTGATACCAACATGGTGAACTGGATAAAATTTGTTAATGATGTAGAAACAGGTAAATTTAAGTCTTCAGATTTATGTATTTAATTTGAATACTTATTCATAATCTTTTTATTCTTGCTATATGGAATGTGAATTTCGCGTATTATGTTTAATATTGGTCTACTAACGACATGTTGATGATAGGCGAAGATTCATGAATATTATATACAATAAATACTAATTTGATCTTAACTCTTTCATAACATATCTATACATTAGGAGAAAAGAACATAGTGAACTATTCACTTTTCTGCAATAGTTAAATGTATACAAACCACTCATGACATGTACTTGTTCACCAGTTGTTTTACAACATTATGTGCATAAAATCATTCTCTAAACAATAGCAATATTAAGATTCACAAGTTATCTACGCAATTCATTCTTAATGAGGATCGTGGTTCCACTAAAAGTCCAATAGGATAACTGTCTGTGATAAATAGGGCGACCAATGACTTAAACGATTTAAGTGCTATTGATATCTAAAATTGATCGTCTGTAACACGTAATCACATCTTGAAAATGTAGTGTTTAGTATTAATTCAAGCTCACATGGGTTATTCTGTTTTCCGGCAGACCAATTTATTTATTTTTCCTGAGTCGAATTTTGACCTTATCAATTAGTTACTCGTTAAGCTTGACCATTTTTATATGAGCATATATGTGTGCATCACTTACCCTATTCATCAAACGTCCTTAGCCTATTTTTGCCTGGCCATAAATATCGAGTCGAATTCTGTCAAACGAAGTTAGCACACTTGCCTTTTCTGGCCAGCTTCTCCGTTTCACTTTATTTTCTCAGTTCTCACTTGTGATGTCTGTTTAGGTAAACGAGTACCTGAAAAAAAGTTCATCCAACTCCATCCGTATTTGGCTTCTTATTACCGCCGTCACACAAACGGGTAAGCCTAGGTGTAACATACATAGTTAAATGGAAGATTTATATTCATGTACTGTTCATTCGTTCTTCTAAGTTGGAGTCTGATCAACGGAGCACTAAAAGGAGTAATCATGTAACTTAGTCATTTAGTTATATCTGTTGGTTATATATGTTTTATTGTAGGATATTGAAAACATGTGATCAAATAGTAAGTTACTGATTAACTGATATTAGATAATGCTCAGTTCAATTCACACAAATCTGACTGTAAGTAAATCACCTAAAAAAATAATATTTTCATACAAAATTTTGATTTATTTCCTGGATCAAATAAATTCTTTGTATTTTCATTAAGCTTCGTCCAATTTGGTGTCCAAGTACAAAGCATTAGCAGTATATGAACTTGGCAATGATTGTCAAGTGAGAAAAATTATGGTTGTTAATTGTTACTGGTGGCTGGTTAGAGGCCTAAAACTTTATCACTGTGATTTTGTTGCATTTAATCCTTATTTTCTCTAGAGCAACTTAATTATAATTTTCTTATATAAATCACTTTGATTTATACGCATCATACAAAACTCATAATTCATTTCTTGAAAGAAAATACATCTTGCTCATTGCTCAGCTGTGTTTCTCATACAAACGTTTCATGTACAGAAGTCAGATAAATATAAAAATAGGAACATTATTATAGATAACTCATTAGGTGTTTGAATAAAAAATCACTTGATTCGAGCCCAATGTTAACAACACTGGGATTCAGGTACTTTTAGGTGACGAGTCCTTAATGAGACGAAATATTCCACCTGGAATCCCCTACCATTCACAGACTATATGTATCAAAAACTTTTCGTGGTGTTCCCAATACTACCCATTTCGTGGGTTAAGTTAACAAACTAACGACTTTTAGATACAGCAGAAAAAGTTACTGTTTACAGTACGAAACTTCATATACTCCTCCAAGTAAGAATTATGTAGTCAAATTTGATTACTAGAAGCCTTAGTTTCTGGTAGCCCAAGTATTCCTGCCGAATTAAGACCAATAATTAACTGATTACTGTTGATACTGCATCTTCTTAGTTCACGTAAAGTCAATTTCTCCCTACTAAAATGTGACAGAGTTATTTGAATTATTATACAAACTAGGTATTCCAGAAATAACGCAATCTAGACAACGAGAACTAGGTCAGCACGAACGAAACCTGACAGTCATCAAGTACAAAGGAATGATTAGTTCATACAAATACCACATAAAAGTCAGTCCTTAAGAAATAGGTTCCTCAGTTTACTGACATTTCTGTTTCTAAACTATGCTGCTCGACTCATTCCAAACAAATGTTTGCGCTCTTCTGGTGGATTCAGTGCTTATTAGTTTTAGTGATCACATAATTTTGTAATTCTAAATGGAAACTACTTTTCCCTGGAGGCATTCTAACGGAGCAGCTCAACTTTTAGAATGGTATATTTGTAAAGAATCTACTAACAAAATTACATATCATGAATAATTTAATTGTTTTTTTCATCACTTTTTATACGGTCAGTGTTTACTCTACCGGGGTTGGAAAAACAACCACTCACTCGTGTGCTACCACAAGAAACATTTATCCAACCGAAACCAGGTACAGCAGATTGGTTATCAGTAACTGAAGAAATGAAACAGAATTATGAAAATGGTATGGGAATTTTAAGACAAAAAGTAAATGAACGTCGGTTGGATTTAACTCCAAATTTTGCGGCTTTTGATTTGTAAGTGTTTTGTCGCTTTGTTGTATATACGTTATTTATAACTGTTATCCTACTCCAAGATATTATTCACTGTAACCACTTTGATTCAGTATAAACTATTGTGTGCTTTGTTTTTGATGTATCAATATGCTTCCAGAGGAGAGCTGTCTGTAAGCTAATTAATTAGATATTGTTTGTTAAAAAGTCTCTTTATCATTAGTTTCTGAAACAGCATATTACCTTTATTGACGTGGGAAAAGAGGTTAAATCAAAGAAATCACAACCCTAAAAGTTAATGTTGTGAGAAGGGTTGATGTTCATGATATAAATCTCAGTAAATTTATTAGTGCTGATTAAATCAGTAATATAGAAATCAACTTTGTAGATTTCTTATTACCCTGATAAATAAGATTTTACTGCCAACAGTAAACAGTGGATAATTCCATTTAGGCAAAAAACATCATGAACGAATGATTATATTTCCAAGTCATGTAGTGAATAACGTGATTTGAAAATGTTATTTATGGAAGTGTTTTGGTTTCTTGTTGACTTATTGTTAAGTAACTTTTTATTTGGTCTCTATTTTTTTCATTGCATTAAGGTATTTGTTAGTTTATTAGTTCAGAATACAGTTTTCACGCTAGAAATTTACGTATAGTAATTACAGTATGAGGTATCTTTAATCTCACTTATCAGTGAATAGCATTATCTCGACTGCCATTTGTTTATTGTCACTATTCGCAGTAATATTTAAAGTTCTTCGTTAAATCCAAGTAGAAACACGAAGTCCGTAAATCATAATTTGAAATTCTATTTATTATGAAGCGGTTTTCATTAATTATGACTATAACATAAAAATGATTATATTTATATTCACCTAAATTTATGTCACAAATCAGGTGATCAACGATTTTACCATATTTCTGATCGAAATGAGTTTGATAAGTTTATCTTCACATTTCCCAAGTCAAATGCCTCCTTAATTTGTGAATAATCCAGTTTCATTTACCCATTTCTAGAGTAGCACGTATATTGGTAAGACAGATAGTTTTATCTAACAAAATCTCGAAATCACACACCTTCGCCATGTTTGATTTGTTTCAAAAAGTATTCAACAATAATTTGAATATCCTACCGTCAAACGATTCTTATTGACAGGCGGATATGGGTCAATTGCATAAAACAAGTGGGTTGTAAAACATCATATCAAAATGATATTCAATAGTTAGTGAAAAGACGCTCTGTCTAAACCTCAGCGCTGTAAAACCTCATATTAATTATTAAGTAGGTCAACTAGGTTCTCAGATTTAGAGTTTGAGACATATTTATGAGATAACACAAGTGGGGTAATAAGAATAACAAGTTGTTACTTGATTCGAAAAACTACAGTATTTTTTAAAAACTGAATAAAGGACTAAGTTTTGGATGAATTGTTTAGGTAAATGAATAGACGGTAAACCCCAAAAATTTGTTTTACCATTCAATGCTCGCCTTCATTAATACCGAACTGTTTGATGTTCGGCTTTTTAAACTAGCCCTTTTTCTCACGCTCTAATGAAAGGATATCCTTATTATTCCAATTAATCTGATTTTGAAGTTTTTTGTTGCTGGTAGTCAATCGAATCACTTGTCTGCAACATCATTTTCCATCAATTTGAATCTAGTTATACTATGTAAATTCTGTTGTTCACTTCTGTGTATTGTGATTTGTTTTCATATTTAACCCAGTTTACATCGAGGAATAGTGACAACAAATAATTTCCGTCAACTAATAAGTATGTATAGTTTTTGTTTGTCGCCGGCAGAAATTGATGCTATCATATCACGTTATGCCAATGATGATGGGTTTAATTATTTGGACTTTCTAAGTCACCTCTGTCCAATGAAATTAGAAGAAAACGAATATAAATATCCAGAACGTTTAGCTACATCTCAGAAAATAAATAAGCTGAGTAAAGAAAAAACGGAAATAGAACCGGTAATGGGAGATGCTGAAGGTATTATGGATACACTGAAAGCAGAGGTATATTTCCAGTTTTAGATAAATTTTAGTGCATAAACGACTTAATGAGATATTCGGAAATTAGATTTGTGCAATAGATCATATCAATTTCCATTGTTTTTACCTAAACCTGTCCGTATATTTGCCTTGGTGCTCTGATTTGTTAAAAGTTTGTCAGGGTCAGTGTTTATCATCGCTAAATAAATTCATACATCTTACCATTATAAGGCTTCTTCCAGGGATTTTTAATTCATCACCGTCATCTAGTAGAGGTGTATCCGATAAAATTATCAAACTGAGATCAGGTAATTCAGTTTAAATACCGGATAGATGGACAGCGATATATTCCCACAAGAAATGAAGAAACCTAGTCCGTAAAATCTTTGTACAGAGAAACTGTAGGATCTGAAAGAAATGAATGATATATGTATCTATTGCATTCATTATCTACAATGAGGACTTAATTTTTAATCAATTCTAATGCCTAGCTAGCATGGTGATCGAGAATTCGGGTGATGTTTCTCTAAATTGCTAAATGTTCGGTCACCCAAGCAGAAACACATCTTTCAAAAAATAATACAATATCTAAAACCTTATGGTTTTTGTGTCAGATGAATTTGTGTCTAAGGCTTTACAGATAAGGTTTATAAACTCAGTGGCATTTAACTCATATCATTGGATTGATGCAATTAGCAGAAAATAAACGCAAATAAATATGAATGCCAACATATAAGTAATCTCAAATTGGCTCTTAGAATTTAATTTAGCAAAATGAACTGTAACTACATTGTATGGAAAGATTATCCATCACATAATAAATAGTCTATGATAAAAGGAATTAATCAAATTACAAATAAGAATCATGGTTTTGCAGAGTGGTTTTATCAAGAAAAACCTAGCCGATACTGTAGTGTACAGAAATATGGGGTTAAACTATTTTAAGAAATATTAAGCTTATTTTATAGTTGTTTCGCACATGTATACCTCCCGTTCTTTCACTTTCTCTTGTTCATTACCGTTATTCCTTTAAATCACTTCGTTTCATTCTCATAAGACGACTTGAAAAATACTTCGATAAGATAGTTAAACATACTGTTGTCGAAATATATGTGGCAGTAAAAATATTATCAGTGGTGTAACACCTCAGCTATGTATTTTGGTATATCTACAATCAGTACGTTTTTATCTTTACTTATAACTAGTTCGTCATGCTGTTAAATCTTGTTGTAGGTATACCGCAGAAGTCTGAGATTATCTGATTGGTTTCGCGATCACGATAAACTCAATCATGGATACTTACAAAGAATAACGTTTCGCCGATGTCTAGGGGTTCTCAACTTAAAAATTAATGAGAAAAGTTTAAATATTCTTGAAGACAGGTACTTTTATTTAGTTTCTTCTCGACAAATAACAGATGAGACCAAAAGAAAGAATGAAAAGATTATACAGTTTAATGGTGTTTTGCATTTAAATAATTCACTTTGTATAAATCGAATTGCATATAGAATCTATTTTCTTGCATTATGTAGTACGTGTGTACGTATTCACGATTGCAGTAAGAATTTTATATACATAAATGAGTGTCATTATTTGGTTGCTAAGGTACTGGGTCGATCGCCTTAAATGGTCGACATTGACTCATAAGGTCATGAGTTCGAATACATCTTTACATTACAAGTGTAGCGCAAAGTTTGATATAGGAATTCATACTTTGATATTAAGTAGCATCAGATATCTCAGTAGAGTTTTTATATAAGGGCTTTATTGTGGCAACTAGTTTGCGAAACCACGTTCTTATAACCTATATCATCAGTGATTCTACTGAAATGAGTACTTTTACAATATAAAGAGCCTTAGGATCCATTTTAAATGTTATTATACTAAATAGAAAAGCGAAATCTAAAATAGAGAACGACAAAGTGGTTGCGTTTTAGGACCGTTTGTTCTGTGAAACATGGTTTTAGCTAATAATGCCTACATTTTTGCTTTTATTTTAAGAAGTAACTCGTTGTTATATTTAACGATGACTAGACATTTGAGAATGTACCAGGTCATTATGAAGTATGCAGAAATGCGGCCACAAATCCTTTAATCGGTTGCTGGGTGGTGAGTTATTTCATCTTATTCACACCTCATATAGATAGCCGCTTGGTGATGAAGTAAAAACGACTTGTAGTTGGACATAACAATATGCACTTGGTATAAATATCATACATAATCTAAGGAGATGTTTTAAGCTTTAGTAATAAATATCTTGGTATTATCTATTAACTTGAATATTATAAGCACTCAATTTATTTCTAGAAATTAGGAAGGCATTTATGATAATAGTAAAAATTACGCAAATAAATGCACATAAATAATGAGTTGTCTATATCTAATAACATTATTTAATGACCGGGATAATATTAACTTGATAACTACTCTATACGTTAAACGGGTTAATAAATGAACTCATATTTAAGACAATTCAAAGTATTCCATGGGATGAATAAGCAACGCACATTACCAATTTCAGCTACAACACATTAAAAGATCAATTAAATGATGTTACATAATTTTTTTAAAAGATTATATTCAAAGCATTCCGAATATCGATTCTTAGGTTACGCATATTAAACAAGAATTAGGTCCTTAGAAGCAATCAAAACTTATACTGGAAGTCTAAGAACACGACAAAAGGTGGTGTCAAGTTATTATGATTTATAGTGAGGTGAAACAACACACTAATCAAATCTATAATATTCCAGAATAAATAGCACCTATACGATTAATTACTATAATCCAATTGATTTGTATATTACCATATACTTGATTAACTTGAAGTTATATGAGATGTTTTGGACAAAAATCCAAAATCGCTGATTATAAAGAAGCCGCAATATAACACTTTTTCTGTAGGTTGATTTAATTTTACTGATATATTCTCACTAAGTATTGAGATAGATAAAAGAAAAACATGGTTAATTTCGTAAAAACATAACTCATTAGTATCATTTACTATTCAATTTGGTGGTGTATATTAGATATTTTTAAAATATCTTAGGAGTGGTATCATTTGAATTATAAAATGCTATTTCGATTGGTAAACTACAGTTTAATGTGTAGAATGATAAATTAAACAGAAACATTCAAACATTAGTTGCTACCTTCAACTGTTTTAAAAGAAGGTTTGTTTAAAGTTTCATCCATAATCAGACAGAATAATTTGTATTTTTAGTTAGTAATTAGGTTAAAAAAACCATCTACTAAGTGTGTAACCAGTAGAATAACAAATACATCAGTTATTTCTTATTCAAGTGCAATGGATTTATTAGTGTCTCGGTTAGTAGTAATATGAAATTCCCAACCACGGTTATCTAATGCTACACATGCCATGTTTAGGAGAGTGATACTACTATTGAAAGTTTTTCTTGTAGCAGCCATAATATAATATGTGATTTAGGAGCATCGTATTTTATTTATTTTTGCAGATATAAAGGTTCAATGCCTGATACAGTAGACTGGCGGGCATTTGTTAATGATGTTGAGACTGTATTTCAAACACCAAACTTAGAGAAAGATCCATTAATTGAACCTGGTACGTATAAACCTGATTCATCAGTTGCCCAGAACCACTTGACAGCTGAATTAGCTAAATCTGCTGACGAGGCTTTATTTAAGATAGCAGCTAAAGTAAGTTATTAAAACAGTAAAGATAACTTTTGATGGATTATATCATGTTGTTTCACTGATACTGAATAATGCTAATCACTGTATTTAATACCATAAATATTGGCACAGTAAAGAATTCTCAGCACTAATTGTTTAATATTATCACAAATATCTCCGTAACATGCGTTTAAATTAGAATTATTTAAAACACAAAAAAGCCGTTTTAACATTTATTATTAATTATACTTGTCTACAGGTTTAGCTGCTACAACTATTTTTCCATCCATCATTTGTAAGGTCAAGGACCTTCCAATATATTTGTCTTTGACTTCGTCAAAGGATAATGTGTCAAGAATTTCAGGATCTCTGTTTGAGTTTTTCAGCATTTAGTACTGCAAATAATTTGTAATCATTTTATGACGTATACATGAGTAGACACAGAGTTAACATTCACATAAAGAAATCCGAACCAGGTAATATAATATTCATGTAGTTGAAATATAAGCGGCTTAAAAGTTTGAGCAGGTCACCGACAGTATTTCAAACCGATTGGAATGTTTACATTTTTGTTTTTTACCTTGTTCATACTTACTTTTAGGTTAAACAACGTAGAATACTACTGTTAACAATGTTCAGTGATTTTGACGAAACTCATCGATTAACGGTTAATCAAAGTCAATTTCGTCGTGTTCTAACGACACTTGGACTTGGGGAGTCATTAACAGAAAGAGAATGGATTGCATTATATTGCAAATATTGTCATCAAATGGGTCTAGCAAACAACGTCAATTATCAAGCTTTTATTGATGATATTTACACAAGAGCTGGTATGGATCCGCGTATGCCATAGTCATAAATAATCATGAGAAACTGTTAACATTATAGTACAATCTATGTTTGATTAGCTAAAACCAAAATTTAAATTGGTGACGCGAAAATTCTATCCTATTAAATAACTTTATCTGTAGTGCAAACGAAAAATAATTGTTTGTTATGTGACACGAGGATAGGCGAAACACAGTAAATTGTTCATGATAATATACCGGAAATAAAAATTTTTCGTGAGGTTTCGGTTGGTCTTAACAGTTAGGAAAGCTCATATCAATATCAATGACTTTTTGGACAGCACATATGAATAGGAATTCGTTCGTGAGACAATACATTAGAATGTAGGTTTAGCCTACCAAGTGTGAAATCAGCACAGCGAAGTACAGCCAACAAGAAAATTTGAGTGAAGTAGAAATTATTTATTCGCACGTTTAGAACAAGACAGTTTGAGCGGATAAGTTTATTATAGGTTCTTAGTTCCTACTCATGACTTAATTCTAATTTGAAGATTTAAACGATGATAATAAACCACCACTTAAATGGTGATAGTTTAACTCCCTAATCTGTATGTTATAATATGGTTTAAAACGTATACACATTTTGCGTATACACTTCAAAAGCAAATAGTTTAAAGTAATGATTATCTAAGGTTTACCTAATCTGTCCTCTTTTGTGGAAAACTAAATGTCAGGAAAAATGATTTCTGAATGAATTGAAAACAATGTATCCATGCATAGATGCAAACTTTTATTACGTTTTGAATGTAATCAAAATTTGCAGTGAACCGCTAACAGATCTGCGCAGAGAAAAATTCCTGTGTCAGACGAAATCTCTCTCAAAAGGCTTGTTTGACTTTTGCCAACTTACGTCACCTATGGCGAAGGCAAAATATCCGTCTATCAATTAAAGGGCGAGTATACTGCACAGCAGTTCGTTCTGTTTTAATTTACGGCTGCGAAACCTGGCCATTAAGAGAAGAAGATACTCGTAAGCTACTAGTATTTGATCACAGATTTCTTAGAAATATTGTTTGCATCTTCTGGGATCACCGAGTAAATAATAGTGAGGTTGGACTCAGGCTATTAGGGAATGATGGTAAATCAGTTGATGAGGTTGTGAATCTACATCGACTGAGATGGTTGGGTCACGTATTGCGCATGTTCAACCACCGACTACCACGACGCGCAATGCTGACTAGTGTTGGAGACGGATGGAAGAAAGTTAGGGGCGGTCAAACCAAAACATGGCATCAGTCCATAAAGTCATGAACGTCTGATATGAGACATGTTGGTAGATGCAGACTACTTGGTTGGGGTCTACGCGACATCGCAACCATTGGTTGGAGGTCCTGGGTGACATGGCTTGGAATCGATCAAAATGACGTAGGTGTATACACTCTTTGTCTGCCCTTAAACCGTGAAATAAAAATTACTTTATATCTTTCTAATTCTTTCTTCTTGTTTTATATCCTTATACACGATCTTTCTTTTATACATCACTAACATTGAAGTAACTTCTTTAATGAATTTTGTGTTCATCTTGTTATGCTACTGAGGTATGGCAACTTGAACGAATTAATATATATGCCCGATCCTACTATATCGATGATCGACTGATTTTGATTAGGAAAACTACGCTCATGTGACTTATCACTTTATCTAGTCTACTTATAATATAGAATTTCAAAAAGCAGTCAAAGTATAAATTATAGGAACTATTCATAAAAAGAAACAGTTGAATGAATTGTTGCCTCGACTTATTTTCAAATCAACGCTTTGCTGAAACCTAGTGATATAGTTCTATTTCCATACAGTTAAGATCGAAAAAGGACTAGGAGAACATACTGAATAAAATATGGTATAAAGATAAGTTTTAAAATTCCTTAATGTAAAGTACTTTTAAAAAGGAAGTATAAAATACACTTTACATTCATCTTATCAGGCAACAACACGTAAACAGTAGCTTACACATTTTGCGCTCTTATAATAAAAATTTCAGAAGTTGCTAACGGAATTATATGCCCGGATTTTCTTTGAAAAACGTTCTCTTTCAATTATTCTACGTGATCGAGTGAATTTGATTTTGCATCTCGATGAGGTCATCCAGTTCGAGTTAAACTCTGGAAAATGTTATTACAGAGTAATCAACATGTTCAACCCCTTATGGTGTAATATTCAGGACCACTTGATATTTATTTATACATAATTCAGTTAATGACACGGAGGTAATTAGCTGACTAGTCTGCTAATAATCCCAACTTTATTTGACCCTTGAAAATTGAGAAAAATCTCCTTTGTAAATGATTGTGACTTAATGGAAATACCGGGGCAATCCGTGCTGGATGCACATACACCAAAAAGAGACTGATCATTTGTCGTCCTAAATAAACATCATTGGGAAGATTTGTACAACCAGTACAAATGAATTAAAATTAAAACAGGTATATTAAAGTAGTTCTTTAAATAATTTAATATTAAAGCAGATGAAGATCATAATAAGTAATGGGAATAAATAAAAATGATAAACATATTAACTGAATAGTTTTTGTTGGTACAAGCATTGTTTTCAACTAAGATACAAACTATCGTTTAATGCAGGTAACATGCAACGTGTTGATTTATAGAAAATATTGCTAAGTATCAGTAAAAACTATTAGTAAACGGTAAAAAAGTATAAATTCAAACAGTAACTGCAGTAATCAGTCCGAAAGATACAGATTGTAAGATATTAAGAAAATATACATTACTTCAACGATGAACTCAAACTGCCCCATGAAAATACTACTTCAGAAATCTCCAGAAAAACAATCCAAGTACCAGCTCAAATATTGCTGAAAGCTCTTGAACGAATGATATAAGAAAGCATAAATGCAAATCAATCTCTGGTTCATCACTAAAAAATTCGACATAGCAACCTAAAATATCAAACTCCGCAAATCTATAATTTCTAGCAATATTATTTATCGGTTTAAATATAGTATAATGATAGATAAAGGTAAAAAAACTCTAAAATATGCATGCTATCTCACAGACAAAAATTAATCACTTTTAGTTATGGTATCAAAGGTCTTATGAATTAGGGGCAGAAAAAACCGGAGAACCAAATCGTGATTTCCACGTATAGCAGGGACAGATAGTTTGAACATATTAAGTTTGAACAAAATAAGGCAAATTGTAGTGTTGAGTCACTTAGCTATTAGTATTACTGCAAACTCAATGACTGCATTGTATAGCATGATAAATTTACGTTAGAACAAGACATTTAAGTGAACAGTTTCTTATTAATAATTGAGATAGTCGATTGTGTTTTGACGTCTATCAGGAAAACCAATATTAGAATTTCGAAGGCTAGCTTCAAATAATTACATTAAAGATACACAATATACGTTCATTCCTTCTAAAACAATTTGTGAAAGACAAATTGATAGTATAGATAAAGGATCCCGTTTAGGCTCTATCTTACTTGACTTTTTTCTTGCAAAATTAAATATCTTAAGGAGATTGCTGGTAGGTTGGATTATATATTGATCAACGTCTATTAGAGTATTCGATGAGAAATAGTAGGGCAAATTCACAGTGTTCTCTCGACAAACATGTTTACTCGTGAGGAACTTGACAGTAAATAGCACTTCTTCGACGTCTTGTTAAACTGAAAGGAAAATGAGTTTGTCAGTAGCGGCGCTCATAGTTAACGTTTACTTGAGTGTTGGTACACAGTGATTTTTAACTTCTTACCTATACATTACAATAGAAACCGAATTAAATGCCTTTCAAACAGAGCAAATGCTCATACGACGCTAAAAATAAAGAATTGCGGTTATACATAATTTGTTATTTAGAATAGGTTACTCACAGAGTCTTATGAATAAGCATATATCAACAATTAAGAGGAAGTCAAATCCATGAGCTGTTTGTAAAGACCCTTTCTTCCTGAAGCTACAATTTAACGACAATATAACTAGTGATATCTGATACGATAGATTAAGCAGCGCTGTGAAAAAGACATCGTGTGCACATAATATCTATTTGTCGTTTACCAGTTCCTTAATCGAAGGATATGTTACCTAGTCTTATCGTCTCAATATGTATTTGTGAGTTCAGCCAGTCATGTTGAGAAAGTCATATGGCCACACTAACAGTCAAATTGGCTAGCAGGTTGGCGAGCATCTCTCATTGTAAACGGTCAGACAAAATCTATACGCAGCACTTTTCTGTCACACTTGATAAATGGTGGTCATGTGCTCGATAAAATCGAAATATTCATAGTATACCCTCAAGTCTTCCTAATAGGATGCGACCTCGCCTTTTACCTTCAGGAGAGACTATGAGTATCCAAGCTAGCAACTCTAATCTTTGTATCGAAAAGACTTGCAATGACGTTATCCACTCTATGGTTAGAAAACGTCTAGTAGGCGATTAGACTATTTATTTACATCAACCCTTGATTCGCTTGATCTCTTTCTCATCTGATATTCACTACCTAAGTATTTGAACTGATTATCCATATACATTTTATCACATGATTTTTTCAAGTTTCAACATACTTCCTCTGCTGAAATTATTATTGTTATTGTTTTGATCACTACAGATGCCGATGTCATCTTACTATCAGTGCATACTTTCTATTTATTACGAATGGTTATGTAGTCTATTTAGTTGTAGTCAATAACTCACCAAGCGCTTAGACTTGTTTAATATTTTCTAAATATATGGATAAACATATTATTTCATATCAGAGTAAACAAAACCTGGCAAAAATCTAATCACAAACAATACTATTCTCTTATATGTATATTATAGTTATCGGTGTCCACTTTCATTAGTCGTTACTGGTTAATATTAGGTTCTGATTATGAGAACCAATCTGTAATCAGCTGCTCTCTAATTTCACCATTAAATGTAATCAACTGACTGCATAATTACATAATTATTAAAGACAATATATATTTTAATATATACATGTCTTGACACAAATGAGTTTAAACAAGTTTAAAAAATACATATTTAATTAGTTTTCTCGGTTCATAAATGATTTAAATACGTTGATTTCTTATTTACAGCTAAACTCAAATACATGGTCAGTTGCAGAATAATAAATGTGATTAGTAATACGTGGATATACATATGTGAAAATGCACATTATATATATAACGGTTCATAAAGATAATTCTTTCTATCTACCTGCAACAAACGTAAAACTGTTTTATAGTTTCCTTTCTTGAAACGCCTGAAGATGAAGATATCCTTTGCTTGGCTCGATCACTCACGAACACATCTCTGCTTAACTTCATGTTAATAATAATTTGGATGTAATCATTAACGTGTAACTGCATCATTACCTCTTATGGGGTTAGTTGTAGAGCCAATAAAAATTGCTGGACCTTATTAGAGACAGAAAGGGAAGAAAAAAAGTAACTGGAAGAAAGTAATAAAAGAACAGTAAATATTGCACGTTGGACCAGTGGTATGATGAAACTAAATTAGGTTCTATGAAGAAAATAATAGAAAGTTACAGTTCAAAGATTGTTTGGAGAGATCGTTGAAAATACACAATGACATCAATTGTTTGAGACAGTTAGATTATTGCTCTGTAGATTAGGATAATAAAGTTAGTAAGGGTTTGAAAATTCGATCTTTTTTTTCAAACATGCGGTTCAGTTCTCATTATGATCGTGTTCAGTGATGATTATTTGGAAGGCTGTGTACAAATGTTTTAAGAAGCAATTTCAATCGGCCTAAACTGCGGAACCTTAGTCACGAGTGTCAATAGTATTTAGCATTGTTGTGTTCAGACAGATATCAGTTAAAAAATTACGTAATGTGAATCCCCTAAAAAGAACCTAAATGAAAAAAGTATCACTTGTTTCTAACTACCAAAATATTCTCATGATCAATGATGATCGCTTTTTTGTCAGTCAGAAGGCTGCATTATCATTCATAGGAGTGTATTCTAACGACTTTTATTGAGTCTTTAGGCAATTTTTATGCTATTCATTTATTCAAAATATAAGCGCAAACAGAGATGAAGCATAACCTACTTATTTTTGTTGAGCATGAATCATTATAAATTTCAGGGTTTTGAATTAACAATGTTGAGCAAGCTCTTGTCAACATACTAGAAGGATTCGTAATTGATTTATTTAATAATAACGGTCTTGAACTGTATGGTCGCCATAGCTTTTGTTTTCTTCCAAATCGGTCTTTGAATATATCAATAGGTGGTAAAGGAAATGAAGCCTGGACGAAACAAAAGAAACATGATAAAAAATTATGTAGTTCTTTTAATGTTTGGGAAGATTTAAGAATAAAAAGCCTGGTTAACTACACTCTTTAAACCAGAAGTCTCTTGGAAGAAATTTTTGTCCAATTTACGAGTCCAGTGCAATTATATTTTCTCGAGTTCTATGAAAAACAATAATGATAAGAAGAGTAGAAACAGTGAATAACAAGGTTTATTATTTTCGTCAACAAAATATTGTGCTCATATAAATTTTCATTCGAAACTCCATACTTTTTTTATTATTTACGAGAAGTTTAGGATTAGATTGTAAAGTAGAAATAATGGCAATATTCAAACAATTAAATGTTAACAGGCTCTACTTAGCAAGAAACCCAAAGAAGTTACCTGGGATTGGAGGATGATTCAGTTGAAAAAAATAAAATGAATTTTTGGTTGTACACCATGATAACAGAGTATCCAGACCGCCGTCACACTGTAGTTAATTAGTAACCTACTGGATGTTCAAATTTTTAGTTTCCTCATACACAAGACCGTCGGATAAATTTATTTAATAACCATACCTTAAAGCCATAGCAATACAACCGGAATGAACGAAGATGGTATCACATTCTTGAGTGGTGGGAAATATGGTTAATCTCATCCGTATGTTTAAAGATTTTAGTTTCATCATAAATAGAAGAAATGAGGAATGAAATTTTAGGTTTTCTTAAATCTTTTCATGCAGATAAAAGTTAAAAACTCAAAGGATTTTTCTTTGAATATATTGATCTCAACATGTCAACCCATCACCTGAATTAGCAAATATCACAAGACAATCTTGATGGTTTTAAGAAGAGATGGATGTTGACCAGTAGTGGAACCTAGGACCCTTATTCCGTCCTATTTGGGACTCGTCAGCTGAATGCACCTACGCCACAGAGTTGATGTTTACACCAACACTCGAACATAGTACCATTTGCTGCCAACACCATCGTGTTATCTACTTAGCAAGAGTCCAAACAGCCACTAGCTTGTGCACTGAAGTGAAGTTTAATTCATTTTGGTATTGGTTGCAGGTACATACATCTGATGAGCCCCAGGTAGAACGAAACGTGCCACCTGGATTCTACTGCTATCCATTAATTACCTTTGCTTATAATACTTGTGACTTAAGGTAATATCGAGGCAATCCACACAAGATGCGAATATGCCAATAACAGACTGACCAATTTCAGACTTAAAGATCAATCAGACTCAAACGACCAATCGGAAAACGAATGTCGATGGTTAGTGTAAACAATAACAATCGTTTACTTCCTTATATACAATCATAAATTTTATGCGAACCTTAGTATGTTGCTACTCAATCTCTTGGAAATAAAGATCAAGCTTTTGTTTTTCTTAAATATAGGAACGGAATAATATTTTAAAAAAGTGAAAATCTTCAACGAATACCAGTATCAAATATAGAATCGTATCCTTAAGAGGTGATATGAGAATAGATATCGCCTACATTTTGATAACTTTCTTCATAAAAGACAGAACACGTGAGCACCGGAATATTAAGGGGTTGGAGAATTAAATTTAAATATAACAGGCAATAAAATGTATACTAAATGTTCAATAAAATTCAACTAAGACACCATTTATCGCTGTACTATTATGTAAGTAATGGGAAGCAATCAAAAGCGAGATTATGGATTTATTCAGTATGATAATCGTTCAGTATAAGCTTGGATTATATTTTGACAATTTTAGTTATTGACTATTTCAGTGTGAAATGAGATTGTATTCTGACAATTTCTGGTATATGAGTACTCGTTCAGTATGACATTTGTTCAGTGTGACATTTTTTTAGGTTCTAATTAATTAAATTTGGCTAATGATTAGAGACTTTGAGCGACAATCGTTCTAACTGACGAGAATCAATTCAAATTTTTTCTTCCCTTATATCACAAGTTTCTAAATTCCGTACAAAACGTTTTTCATCTCAATAATTTATTTTTCTTTAAATTGTCCCTGCAATACCCAATCTTTTCTATCATCACTGATACTGTTACTACCTCTACTACTGTACAATATGGCCTGAGAAATGCATATATCTGTGCTAATGAGGTATGGAGGTTTGAACTAAAGTACATAAGCACAAGGTTCTACGTTGTATATAACTGACTGACTAAAATCCAACTAACAATCAATTAGAAGAAACCCTTATTTAATAGAATGGTATTTTTCCTTAAAATATATACTGCTCAGTAACAAGCCGGGCTTTATCTTCTGATATGTCGTGGCTCGAAGAGTTATATGGTGCTGGAGTCAACAACCATATTTTTTGTCCAATAGTGTGGTATCGGTGCAAATCTATTTACAATTACCTTATAAAATAAACTTGGTCATATAAATGAGTTATGAAATTTTCTTAAACATAACACTATCTTTTCTAATCGTGTATTGCAAGTTGTGTGAACCCACATATGACATTTATTTTGACATTTCGTGTATTTGTTCTTAGCATTGAATTAGTTAAACAATTATTACAAGTGATTTCAAGCTAAATTACTATGGTTTCCATAGATATTAAAAAAATGAATAATTGGTGCTTCTGGTGACACGCATAGACAGAAGTAGACATTATGGGAAATAGTCATATATTATTAAAATTATTCAACAAAATACAAAATCTAATTTTAATTACACCTCACCGATTTTAACTTACTTCCTTTGGAGAATTTTGATTCCAATGCATAGATAATTTCGATGGAATTCTTTGTGTAAAAATAGATGTGTTCCCAAGAGTATTGCTAACGCTGTTCTGTTTCGCAACTAAATTCTCACATATTTTTTTATGCAAATGTGTTGTATGCTGGTTACTTTGTTCACTACCTTGATATATTCCAAATCCAGTTTTATTATTTGTAAATAAATTAATCTTTGGATTTGGCAGGCTTGATTCTATATTTAAAGAGTTGGATGGAGGAAAACATATAGCTGTGGTGACGGTTGATAAAATGTTTATTGGATTAGACAACGGGGGTAACGTGAAATTCCCTGAACTTGTAGTTTCATTCATCATACTGGTTGTATTCACTGACGGAATTTGGCTACTGCTGTTTATTGAATTAGGTACGGTGTGCAGTATTGTTGTTGTTATTACTAGTGGGAGTGAAGTTAAGGCATTACTTACTGTTACAGGGGATAGTAACTGACTAACATTTAAATTATGACATTTTGCTAAACTTGCCGAACAGGTAGAGTTAAGAGAAGTCTCTGTATTTGTAAAATGTATGTTTGCGGTTTTTGATGATACTGTGTTAAACGATGGTTCCTCCGATATAGAAGAGTATTGTGGTGGTAGAGGTGTACGTAATCTATCTAATGGAGCAAGTTTTTCATTATGGTATAAGTTAGCGGCAACACCAATAACAGCAACTCCACTGGTTCTGCTATGATGAGATAATTCAGGCACAGAATTGTTACACGTAAGGATAAATTTACGTGGAACATTGGTTGCAGATTTATTGTTTAAACTGGATATTGGCCTGTTCATAGAAATAGTTCCAATAGATTGGGGACTTATACGAGATAATGCTGTAGTAATGGTTGTCATAGTCACTGATGTCAACTGTGAACCACCTACAGAAGATATTGAATGATTATTTGTAGAGTCTTTCAAAATTGTGTTACTTCCAGTGTACTGTATTTTAGAGAAAGGATCAATATTTTCCCTGAAAAGGATTAGTGAAATTAATCAACAAACAAGACTGTTAAACAACAAAATCTACTCAAACTGTATCATAATTAAGACAAATTCCTTTATTCCATTAAAAACACTGATAATTCAAAACATTGAACTGAAAAAATGATCCATTAAACGATCAAATTTATGGTTAAAACATTTTTAGAATGCTGATACTTCTGAAATATTTTAACGTCATAAAACAGTGTTTAGGGGTTAAATCAACCAGAATAAATTTGTAGGAAGTGAAAAACGTTTTGTACTTAGCAAAAAAACACAGGTTTATGCACTGAATATTGGGCCGCACTTTTATGTTTGAAAGCTAGTGATAGCATTTTGCTGCTCATATCTAAATTAGTGTAACGAGATTCTTAATTGTCATTCAATAATCAAAAAATAAATAACAACCATTTGGCTACCACTGCACTGTAGATTGAACAACACTAAGTACTTATTTTTAAATTTACTGGAATTCAAAGCTAAATTCCTTGAATTCAGTGTTATTCCAAGCCGCAACACTAAATATTAACCAAAACATGCCATTAAAAAATCATGTAGTTTCTTAAGTAAGGACCTATTGCAGATGCAACTCTAGTTCTTATTTTTATATATTTCTGGATTAGGAAAATTATTTAGCTTATCCTGGAAAAAACTTTAACTACAGAATGCTTATTTTTTTCTTTGAAAGATAAAAATGTTCCCTTATCTAAAAGAAATTATATGACATAATTTCTTAAAAGTACATAAAGCCACACAATCTGATGACTTCATTTTAGTCATTGTTATTGGCAAACTGTAAAAGTATGACAATGTAAAGAGAGTTACGGCGTTTAAATGACATTGGAGATGAAGTCATTAACAAAACACTAAACTCATAAAGTATACATACTAGTGAGGTTAGTGTCGTGTTCGTATGGAGTACCACTGCTGTTATCAGATAAATAATAGGACCAGACTAACGGAAGTAAAGGGAAATTCTGTTTCAGTGTCAGAGATAAATTTTAAATACAAAAAATACAAAAAACGCAAGGAACAGAATCATAAAACGACGCATATAAGTCTAATAGAGAAAGAAAATGTAACCATCATTTATGGTGAAATGTCAGGTAAAGTAGAGAGTATAAAAAAGGGAAAATTATCAGGAATATTGTTTAAGTAACAAAAGGAAATATGTACTAGGTGGCAAATAAAAGGAGTGACACCGTATGAATATGCAAAAAGAATATCGGAAATCATCCAGTGGCTAAGTTACTATTCATATACGATTATATATATAACAAAGCAATTCTGTATAGAAAATGAAACACAGTTGATAGCTCACTAAAACATCAAAACGCCATTAGCTGTGGTACATAAAATATACAGACCAGATTGCAAATGTAATTTTTTGTTTAGCCAGTTACTAGGTTTAATTATTTTCAGTATAATCGAATTGGCTTGTTAAGCTATTTAGAAAGAAAGACTCACAGAGACCTTGAAAATAAAAAAATACAAACATAGATTTATGTAGTGCGAATCTGTCAGCTTTATACTAAGGGGATTTACTAACTCAATTCCCCAAGCTAGTAAAACACAGATGAAAATGATTTGTAGTGTTACCAAATTTGTATCTTCTAACATAGCAGAAACCTCGTTGAAATCACGGACCAGCCAATGATAAATCGCCGTCGGAAACCTGGGAACATTGGATGGCCGTCATGTCCTCGTATGGGACTCATCAATAGTGCTCATCCATGACCCTGCACGCGGGACTCGAACCTGGGGCCACGGATCTCACGTAAACGCCTCAACTCTAGACCACTGAGCCGGCATTCTACGATGTTAACGTCTACCATCAACCAATCCACGATATTGTGTGACCATCTTCTACTGTGTCCAGTGGTTAACTGCCTCATACTCGACAACGTTGGACTCCAGTGGTCAAGGCTTCTCCATAAAACTCACTAGAACGAAACGGCTGTCCAGTGTTTCCAGGTTTTCAATAATGGTCTGACATTAGTCGCTTCATGATTTCAATGGAATTCAACAATCTTCACAATCTCATACTGAAAATAGAGGAAGTCTGTCTAGGAATATCTTGGGCAAAAAGGCTTAAGAGCTAATTAACATGAATGAGAACCAACTAGATCTTTATTTTCGCCTAAGCAACACGGAAGATTGCGTGCACACATTAATTTGCTTGATTGCACGCTGATTCTGTCAGTCACTTATTATGGAAACTTAAACGTGTTAAACCTATCCTATGAGGTTGATATTCCTCTTATATGATGACTAAGAGAACAGATGAAATTTCGTTTTCTGAGTTAATAGTAATATGCCATCAGTTTTTTTAACAACAATACGATTTTACTCAATAAGACTTACTGAACTAACGACTTTTCACGTGTTTGAAGTGTTTTGGTTGAAATTTGCAATAGATCGGCAAGTTCAATATTTGACTCATGAGTTTGTACAGCGTGTTGACCGCTGAGGCAATTTGGTGTATCTGAATTAGAATGCTTTGTTTGTTTAAATAGTCGAAATGATGGCAAAGCGGATGAATTTTGTGCATCACCAACTGATGAATCGCATCGTGAAAAAGTGGTATCGAGTAGCAGATGAGATTGAAATGGACTATGAGGAGAAGCTTTCTGACTAATTCCATTAGTTTCATATTTGTTTAAGTTCGGAAACGTATTCTCAGCTGACAACGAAATAATAAACATTTCAGGATTCATCATAAGAAAACTACTTTGTTAGTTGAAGTAAAATTTGAATAAATAAGAAACATAATGACAGTTTTCGATTTGGACCTAGTTATTTTCCACAAAATAGGATTGTTAGCTATTACTTACTTACTTACTCAAGTTACCCCTCATGTACGAGCATAGGCCACCCATCGGTATTCTCCATCCAATTCTGTACTGGACAATCTATTCCAGTTGCTTCCAGTTGTTATTGATTCTTTTGATGCCTGCTTCCAATTCTCGAAGCAGTGTGTTCTTTGATCTTTCTCTTATACATGCTGCCAAATCCTTCCTCATAGTCAACGAAGTTGATGTGTAGTGACGAGTTCCATTTAACTGGTTGCTCAACGACGATTCGTAGTGTCGCAATTCGGTCTGTGTACGACCGATCGTTACGGAATCCGACCTGTTGATCTCGAAGCTGGACGTCTACTGAATCTTTCGTCTGGTTCAGCAACACTCTGTTGAAAACGTTTCTTGGTACCGATTGTAGTGTGATGCCTCCGAAGTTCTCGCACGTGTTCACATCTCCTTTCTTTGTATCTTGGTGAGGTATCCTTCTTTTCAGTCTGTCAGTGGCACTTGTTCTTCCTCCAAAATCTTCCTGAATAGAACGTGGAGCATGTTTGCAGTTACTTCTACGTCTATATTCAGTTCTTCGGTTGGTATGTTGTCAGGTCTTGCTGCTTTCCCACTCTTGATTTGTCTGATTGTCATGCTGACTTCTTCGATCATTGGTGGAGTGCAATTTATAGGAAGGTCTGTGTGTGCTGCTTTGATGTTCAGTGGATTCAGTGGAGCTGGTCGATTCAAGAATTCCTCGAAGTGTTCGACCCATTTGTTTCTCTGTTCTTGAATCTCACTGAGTTGCTTGCCTTCTTTGTCGTTGACTGGTGTCTCTGGTTTACTATATTTCCCTTCTAGTTTCTTCGTTATGTCATATATTTGTTTTATGCTTCTTCTCTTGTAGCTTTTTCCTCTGTCGTTGCTAGGTCTTCCATGTATTTCTGCTTGTCAGCTCTGACGCTCTTCCTGATTTTATTGTTTGCTTCTGTGTACTCAGCTTGTGCCTTGACCTTCTCTGTTCTTGTTCCGCCATTGTTAATTATTGTCCTCTCGTTCTTCTCTTCTTGAATCTTGTTCAGGTTTCTATAGTGGTTCATTCCTTATGATGATGTCAGATGCGCTTAGAACCTCCTGACACGTTGAAGTTAGTGATTCTTTGATCTCTTTCCAGTTGTCGTCCATAGTAGTTTTTCCTTGTTTGTGTAGATCCTGTAAGGCTTGGAACCTGTTGTTGAGAGCTGTCCTGAATTCGTTGAGTTTGTCAGTATGTCGAAGGAAGGATGTATTGAACTTTTGTAATGATGTTCCTCCAGTTGTTCACTGCATTTTTAGCTTTAGTTCACCTTGGTCACAACTAGGTGGTGATCCGAAGCCATGTCAGCTCCTCTCGTTGTTAAAACTCCAAAATCTATATTGGTTGAGAACATACAAAGAAAATATGCTTAAAGCAACAAACACAGATGCTTCGTACTTACATAATAACATCTTCATCCACTGTGTAAGATCATTCCATAACTGCTGAGATATTATTCTAAGAATCATTTCAACTGAATTTAATAGCGGGGAAGTGAAGTCGCTTTCCGAATGACAATTATCCAAACTATCAGGTTGCTTAACCCTTTCCAATGCTATGGAAAGCGATGAAGGGAAACACGAATTAGATACTGCATCAGGTAAGATGCATAATTTGTCATTATATTCTTCTGAATTCGAATGTGTTGGAGCAGGATTCGATTTTTCTTTGTGTTTATGTCTAAAATGATGATAACCGTGATACTTATGATGACCATGATGTTTGTTACTTTGATGGGACTTCGAAATCTTAGGCTCTTTACCATCAAATAACAATTTATCTTGAATATGCGTATGATCGTATGATGATAATTGTTTACTTTGTTCGATGTTGCAAGTTGGATTGTATTTGCTAAAAAAGCCGAAAACATATTTTATCGCCTTAAAATTAAACCGACTGAATGTGAAAGAAACTATTGTTTATACATTGATTACCATTATAGAAAAGTTGCTTATTGATACATTAAAATTGTTGATCAGCAAACAAACTGAACCTGGTGAAACAAATTATTTTCTCCAGAGTGCCAAGACAAATAATATTAAAAGTATCCAGGAAGTATAAAATTTATTCAGAAAAGCGTTACAAAGCAGATGTGGAATAAGACAAAGCTATTGATGCTAGATAAGCTTTGAAACAAATACTCGTTTCACCCATAGCTGATAGTTCGTTAACTGCAATGTTTACTATCCATAAAGGTAAGTCTAATCATAAAAATTGGTTTATAAGTTACAAGCATCATTGTTAAGTTATTTTAGCTTTTACGACTTAGCAGTCAATAAATTATTCCCAATGTCCTAGGTGTTTTGGAGCCGTTAACATGTTTTTCATTTATTACAAAGCAATTAAATATTATGATTAAAAAGGTTACCAATAATCTTGTTAATGTATAACAAAAAGAGAATTCAGTAAAGAAAATCTTCCTTTCGACAAAATTACTTACTTAAGCTGTACATTCGTGTTTATAGTTATATGGAGGATAGAAAAGATTGCATCATAAAATGGATTCGAGACTAAATAACAAATGAGGTTACGTATTATTCAAGGGGTAAGGAAGAAAATAGTTTATGGGTCAGATATTGGTCCAATTGACCGTTTCGTCTTGTCGTGGAACTTCTCAGCAGTGCGCATCCACGATCCCGCCTCGCGGGATTTGAAACGGCCGTCCAGTGCTTCCAGATTTTCCATGGTGGTCTAGCTTCAATTGACTCATGATCTCAGCAATTGAAATTACTAAAATCTCCACAAAAAAACCCCTTCTGATAAAAAAAACTTGTATATCTGTCAATTGGACTAATATCCGACCCATAAACTATTTTCTTCCTTACCCCTTGAATAATATGTAACCTCAAATAAGAACTTTCGTTTAAATTTGAACGAATAGTTTCACAATATTTGGGCGTCGAGTTAATGTGAGATATTAAAAATCTCAGCGAATGAATTTTAAGTAAAATCCAACGTTTCGCCTGGCAATCCGGTCCAAGCTTTTTCAAGGAAAATATAATCAAGCAACAAAATTAGGTACAAGGTTCTTCGGTTTACTGTATACTGAATAAGTCATCCAATCAACGTGAAGGATTTTTTTTTCTAAATAGGTATTTGTATTAATGTGTAAGAGACATGTTTATATGAGAATAATATGAAAATAATAAAGGTCAAACAAGTAAAAGTTCATTTGAAAATAACCAAGGGGAGAGGAAGAATAAGAAATTGTCGTGTTATCCTAGGCCATAGAATGACTTAAGGAATACAAGGTAAATTCAAGGTTATGACAAATTGTTTTTGTGTTGTGAAACCAAAACGTGTTAAGACAACAGAATGTGTTTATACGCAAGTGATGTGAGAAGAAATTTCATTAAACTAAATATTGACTTCGGTCTGTGTATATTAAAACAGATCATTTTTATATATGAAATGAATCAAAAATGCCACAGCCTGCATTAAATGAAGATAAATAAGATAAGTAAACAAAATAAAAGAGGAATGTATATGTAATTGAAAGTGTGTGTTATTTTAATGTTCCAGTCAATTGTTTAACATATTCAGATAAGATAATGGATTTGAATCATTGAACGTATTATCTACCAATTAGTTATTATGGCATAGATATATCAAATTGCAAGAAGGAGACCAGGTTTACTTATTAATTATTAGTTGCCATGGGACAGCTAGTTGTATTCCATCTCTCCTATTAATATTGTTTGAATTAGCCCATATATGTAGGGCTTCGGCTGTTAGTCGTTCTTTGTATGAATTAAATCCTTTTTGAATGATTCTCGTGCCATTGAAATCAACTGTATGACCCGATTCAATCGAGTGTAATGCTATCGCTGATCTGTTCTCAAGCTTTTTTACATCGATTGGGGATTTAGGAATGTGCTTTAAGCACAGTTTGTGTTCCTTCACCCTCACATTCAGTTGTCTTGATGTTTCACCTACATACGTTGCATTACAATCATTACATTTGATTTCATAAACACAATTCTATTGATCATCCTTGTGTATTGGATCTTTGATTCTTACTAGTTTTGATCTTAGAGTATTGTTTGTTCGAAAGAATACTCTTATATTTTGACGAGTTAAAATCCTTCTGATGTCTTCTGAGATACCTTTACGATATGGGATCACTACTGTGTTCATCCAACCTTGCTTAACTCTTTTTAAAAAAATATCATTCCGTTCTTCATTCTTAATTATTCTTTTAATAAAACCTTTCGGATAATTATTCATTAATAGAGTGGATACAACTAAATTCGTTTCCATTTTTATATCATTTGGTTCAGTGACAAATTTTTTGACTCTGGTGATCAAATTTTTGAACACTGTAACTTTGGTCGAGCGTGGATGCGCAGACTTAAAATCTAAAAACTTCCCTGAATATGTAGGCTTTCGGAATATATTAATTTTTAAACAATCATTGTCCTTCCTTTCAACCAGGCAGTCTAGAAAAGGTAATCTGCGTTCAGGCGATTCCAACTCTTTAGTAAACTTGATTTTGTCATCTAAGATGTTGAACTGTTGGAATAGTTCGTCTAAACCATCTCGTTTTATAATGACAAAGGTATCATCTACGTATCTTACCCAAATTTTTGGTGGAATGGAACACATTGAGATAACAATTGTTTCCAATGAATGCATGAATAAGTTAGTCAACAACCTCATTTGTTATTTAGTCTCGAATCCATTTTATGATGCAATCTTTTCTATCCTCCATATAACTATAAATACGAATGTACAGCTTAAGTAAGTGATTTCGTCGGAAAGGCAAATTTTCTTCACTGAATTCTCTTTTTCTTATTCAATGACACTATGGGCTATTTTAATTATTTGTAAATGTAAATACAATAGATAGTGAACAATCAGAGTATTCACAATATCTAAACTTTAGTTAGTAAAATAAATAATAAACTGTAACTCATAGTTAAAAATATTAAATATAATTTGTTAGTGTAAATATGATAAAATTCTTTTAGTCTGACATGTCTGTCAATGAGCATTAGGGTATAATTAATTTTTCTAAAATTTGGATTAACCTCTTTAAAGTTTTGACTGTAAAAGAACACATGAATTTCTGATGTAAATGTGAAAGAATTGATATGAAGAGTCTTGTAGAAAACTGCGTTTAAAAAAAGTGAAGTAGTTCTTTTTTTTAAGCTATTTCAAATACTATTTTCTGTGTTTAGTTCCAACAATTACAACTGTCATGTACTCAATATCTCAGTGCAACAAATTATGTTACAAATAAAGTATACCTAAAGCATAAGTTTGAAAAATTATCCATTCATAAAAAATGTTTCTGTTGAATGATCATATTCAGGAGTTATGTAAGTTAGCAGTTTTCATGAGTTAACGTCAGCCGAAGAACTATTTACTGGCATCTAAATTATTTTACTGAGGTTCTTGATGGATGTTGTGATTTATTTTTTACCATATTTGAGATAGAAGTAGTTACTCACTAATGAAATTCGGTGTGGATTGGTGTGCCACATAAAATTCAGTAAAGTGGGAGGTATGAATCATTGCAATGCCATTCCCAACTCATCAATGTCTTGATTACTGCAGGATCAGAATTTTCTGGTTTCTACTTCTTTTGGATTTAAATGTATCCAGATGGAAGAGCTTCAAAACTAAGGCAGAATTTTAAACTAATTTCTGGTTCTCAACAGTTCGTCAGATGACAACAGTTTATGGTGAAAATCACCTTCAGATAAACATAGATTTAAAAGTTTAAGCAACGAAATGACGAATCCCATTTAAACAATGATATGCTTGAGAAGTCTCAAATAATTATATAAACTAACGATATGAAATCAGAGAATAATCTTAGATAAAGATAAGAACCACTGAGGAAAATAGTAGTTAGTATTGATTTCGTAAGCTCTAGTAAAACAATATATATTCTTTGTCTCCCCCCTTTACGTTAGAAACTTACATGGCCATCTCTTATCCAACTGAAAAATAATTTATAGTGTCACTGAATACAACTAACAAAATAGATTACGTAGTGATGAGTTTTTATTGGTTAATTAATAAAGCAATTATTGATCTTTGTACATTAATATCCTTGCCTTCATCATAAGGGAGATGAAATATATACTTTAAATGAAAGAATTTATTAACATTTTAAGGAATTTATGAAAAATAACAACAATGATGATACATGTCTTCATTTTAAATATTTATCGTTGTCTAGGTATGGACATACGGTAATGAATTTTTTTTAAAAAACACATAGATAGACAATATGGTTTACAATTAGTTCCTTCATTTAATTATCTGCGAAACATGTCTGAGAAATTATAATGTGATGACAACTGAAGCACAATCGTACCAATATCAATAACAAGAATGAATCACAGAAGAAATAAGCTGCAACTTCAACATTCCATATTCGTCCGAAGAAAAGATACAGTACATGTGATGTAATTCAGTAAATAAATTTTGCACTTGATAAAGAACGATGAAAAATGTGCAACATAAAGAACTTTTTAAACTAAAAAATGTCTAGACACTTTTTACTAAGTTCTTTCTATCTACTAAAGGAATGTGTTGTAAAATATTTTTTATTAAAAAGATAGTGGTTATCTGCTCGAGCTGAAGCGATAACAACAGTTGAAGCTAATACTAGAAAATGTTAGGTCTGATATACCAAATAATATGACATCCATGTCCATTACTTCTCACTTCCCATAAAAGCATTAAAACCAATTGACACATAAAAGCTAAGCAAATTTTAGCGTGTTTATCTTTATTGAGAGCAATAAGGATCAGTCCTTTCAAAAACAGTAAAGTAATACTCTATGGGTGGAAAATGTTTATCATGGTTTAATCTCTCAAACAGACATTATTTAATGGAATGGAAACTTCGATGACGATACAGGTATTCTCTAAACTTTCGGTTCATAAAACTGCAACAAAGTAGACAATGCAACTCAATAGCAATTCACCATTATGTGTACTAGATTTCTAGTCATGAATGTTGCCTGAAAACAAAATACGATGTACAGAAAACAGAGTACGAACCATTGTACCCCAATTTCAACCTGCGAAGTAATAGCTTATAGTTTCAGTCAGATATTTCCTCGACATAAGTTCTGATTACTTTCTTACTGATGTTTTCATAGCGATAATCAAAGAGGTTTTGTGGTTTTATAAGTAAAATACCTATTAATAGAAAGGGCGAGGAGAATCAGTTCAAATAAATTTTTTTCGGAAACATTTGTAAATATTCCTTTAGATATAACATAACTCTGTTCATAGCATTTTATCATGTAAACCTGCGCATTTCTAACTCATATTCCAATAAATACTCACCTGCTTACGGTTACACCATCCGTACATTCTTCATACTCACCATCTATAGCGAATATCTCTTCCTCCATGCAGTTAGTGGATGTTGGTGGACTAGAAAGTTGATCTTCAATTTTCCCCGTTTCACTTCTATGGAGAAAAAATAAATAGCATAATTAAGCTGTAGATATCAACTGGCTTGTTATTATCATATCAAAATTTCAGCTAGATGTTTTAATCCGTACAATACAAGTTAGTCACCCAAAACAATTACAATGACATTGCATAAAAAGAACAGTACTTTTCATTCACAAAGTCCTTAACTGAATATGGACGATGAACAGTAATCAAAGTTACTATATTTATATTTCACATATTCTCAGGAAATCAATTTTTTTCAAATGCTTATTACGGACAATTCTTCATAAGTAGTTTACTATAAGACATATTTTAAATGTATCCGTAGGGTGTTCCTTCGAAAATAGTTCGAAATGTTAGAAACAAGCTCAATGGTAGGGCTTCTGAATTCCATAGATACATATGCATATGACTTACTTGACTGTAATTAAGTCATATATCTAAAAACCAATAGGGGGGAAGATTGATGAAATACCATATCTGTAACAGGTTACTTAAACTGACGTACTTTTAAATCACGTGACTGAATATCGATTAGCATAGTAAGTATGTCCTCTATGTTTTATTTTTCAATTTCTAAACAACGCCATTTCTCTTCTCTTTACGAAATCCTCTTTATTTCTCTTATTTTCTTCCCACTATCGAAAAACGAAGAGTATTAGAGCTATAATATTCTTTATTTTCTTTTGGAAATTTTCAAAAATAGTTTTCGACCATTGTTGATTTCTATTCACCCTCCTGGTATAAAGTTTTCCTATATGAATCAACAAAAAAACCTTGAAGATCCGAAATTGTTGTGTCTGCCTAACTTGTATGTTCTCCAGTACAGTCAACCGTTTTTCTCATAAATATCAAACTAACAAGCGAACGAATGCACTGTACGAAGTATCAATTAAAAGATGGAAGAGCACTTTGGTTCTCATACATATTACATATTATCGTTAAGTGAAGCGACTAGAACGTAATCAGCGAATTTTAATTAGGTAAAAAAATAATGAGAAACGCGAGCAATCATTTATGTCACATAATAAGAACAGTAATACAAATGTCTTTTTATTTTAGATGTTGAAAAACGACTCAAATAAACCTCCTAGAAACGAAACACAAGACATGAAAATTAGAGAAAATTAAAACTGTGTGAGTTTATTAGTACTTGCGAAGGATCACTAATTGTGTAGCATTGCCGAACAGCTGATACCATTTTAAGTGCATACATAACTTCAAACATCTAATGAACAGGTAAAAATTGTGTGAGGACGATAACGAAAGCTTGAAATAAAATATTATAACTAGATTTCAAGAAGGAAATTAGTGTTAGTTTTTCATCCTTGAGATAGAGGCATCCAAATTCTGAAGATATTTAAATGTCGTCTCACTTAATGTAGGGATGGGATAATAACAGTAATAAATATGTATCCAAGGCCTACAAAACCAGCTTACTGTATATGATTTAACCTTCTGTCAGTGATAACTTTCTTCATATTCAGAGATGTATCCATGATTGTGCTTGATACGTTAATCATGTTAGGGAACACTATAAAAATTTAAAATAAGCGTTGTGTAAAATAAATAATATGAATTGACGACAGTTTGCTATTGAGACACTTGTCAAAATAAGTTCCATCACGGTCAAAAAAGAATCTAACAAAATATCATTATTTTAACATGCACTTTGAGAATAAAAATAATAAAATAATTTTAAGGATAAGTGTAAGTACTTGTGAACTAATATTAGTTGAAGGACTACTGAAAACTATAGAGCGATAGATAGCTGTTGCTTCCTAATTGTTGGATCGCCTAGCAGTGGGTACCTATGAGAACAGAACGTTGAGGTTATTACAGAAACACGATAACTGCATCAAAATCCACTAAATTACACTTTTAACTTCAGCCAATTCATGCTATAGCTTCACGTAATGTCATTTGTGAGTTACTGTATCATAGGCATCCAACTGTAACTTCAAAAAACTCATCTCGATCATTTGGGATGAGACGATTGTTGTCATTTTCTCGAGTGCTTCTGTGGAGGTTCAGTATAAAATATATCAAGTTTTACACTAAAGTCATGATAAATGTTTGATTCTACGAATAAAAATCAGATATACCTGGCTCACGAAATACTTACTCATGAAACGAAAACGCTTTATAAGTGACAGAAATATAACCCATCGCCAATGAAAACGAATAATAATTTCTAGATTAGAATATCCGCATACACCATTTTATAGTGATCCTAGAACTTCCAAACAGACTAATCATAGAAAACAAGAACAAACCACGCTAGCTGTAATGAATTTCAACAATTGCTTACAAAATTCTTATCATGAACTTGAAGTAAAGGTATAATTCAGAAGATAACTCCTTATTGGTCATCTGCCTTTTGAGTGTACACATTTATTCTAGATTTCAGCAAGTCGGAGTGCTTAATAATATTTGATGTCGATGTTTTCTGTTATTGCCATAAATTCCAGTTGACTGAATAAGTGGGGTTTTACAACTTCCAGATTTTTTCAGAATGCAATCTGTGTTATACTTTGATATGGGGTCAAATCCATCAAGGAGCATCATTCTCTTCAAGATTATACATACACCTCGCTAGTGAGTGCCAAACAGCACGAAACCCAGGTCTAGAGTTTCCTGCCGACTACCTCCAAGCACCACCTTACATCATAACATGATGCACGCGTTGCCGAGTCACTTGACTAGTGCCCACATTGCAACTTGATGGGTAAAATTAGATATGCAATAAGAAGGGCCTGATGTACATGACACTAATCACTATTCAGTGATCGACCAATTATAAATACATCTTAGTCCCACAGGAGGTCAGTCGGGACCCAGATAGATCAGTAGCAACCTGTGATTGTGAAGCTGTGTGGCATGTGATCGAGTGCGTCAGAGAGAATCAGTCTCCTCAAGATTACAGGTACAGCTCATCGAAGAATATCTATCGGCAGAAAACCTAGGTCCGAGGATTCTTATTGATTAGCACTACTTTATACTTTGGAGTGTACGAAGTAAAGTGATCATCAAGAAGGCAAATGAAGGTAGCGAAATTACGTGACTTCGAGAAACAAATAGATTTGTCCGTAGGGATGAATTCTTAATTTGCTTTTAACCACAAAAGTAAACAAATGTACATGAAGCTGACATCAAATAGTGGTAAATGGTAATGCTTAAAACTGGGACATTGAAAAATTGACCCCATAATCTGTCCCTAAAACCCGATGCCACAACTCTGTATATACCCTTATTTCTCTTTCCTGAACCATTGTTACATTGTGACTTCTATTCTGAGGTAAACAGTAAAAAGTTTCGAAGTGTATGTCTTCATTATTTCAGGGGCGAACCCATATAAATCCTGATCGGTAGGTAACTGAAATAAGCAATGACAGGTATTCATGAAACTCTTGCTGTCTGAGAACATCATTACAGAAGCAAACTAGTGAAACCAACAGCAAAATGTTATATCGTTGTGGCTTTTGCCTAATACACGAACTTTCACAACACACATTTACGCATTAAATGTAAAGTAATTGGAGAGGCTTTCATTTGTAACTATGTCCAAGCATAATTTTATGAAAACTAGTTTTCGTCTTAAAACGTTTTACCTATATTTTCTAGTGAAAGTTCATAGTATTGCTGTTTTTAGAAATCAAATACTGAAGCAATAAATAAACAATATTTTCTACCTGATATGAGATTACTATCATCATGATGAAAAGTAGATTTATTTTCATCAGAAAGTTTTATTTGTTTACCAACAACACGTAAATGTGGGAATCGAGATAACCAGTCTTTACATTCATAAAATAAATGATCTTGAATTCCACAAGGATTATTATTTATACAGTTGGTAACTGATGAATTAAGATGATCAGGATACTGATAAGCTGTAAAAATATTTTGATTAAAGAAGAACAAACAAACGAATTACTTAAATAATAATTCTTTTTTCTATTAATCATTTCATACAAACTAAATACGTGCACTGCACGTAACATAACAAGAGAGAATGAATGTTTACTTTGACTTAGTTTAAAACAAAATTTGTAAATTTCAAATAATTATTAAACAAAACCAATTTATTTTCTTATAGCCTCCCTTTGTTTATCTCACTGATTTATTATTTAACGTGTCAGTTATTGAAACAAACAAGTAAATAATCATAACAAATCACAATTCATTCATTTACAATTTATTGAACTCAAAGGTAGTGATATAGTATTTGTTTTAACTTGTTTTAATGATGATCATCATTAAATGTACTGTAAACAATAAATTAATTAGTGATTATATTGACTGTTGTCACATAAATGATCTATGCAGGAAAATTAGTGTTTGTAAACGTCTAAATTATGTAAGATATTTATTTTCAGTTATATTACTAAACAATGGTTTTTATTTAAATTTGAAGTTCTTCATCCAAGATAAAGTAACAGTTATTTGTTGTGATTTTGAGATAGTGAAAATAGATCTTTATAACAAAAGAATGGTCTGGGTCACTTTTGAGTATGATTGACTTAATAGTAAAATAAAATTTACCTAATGTCAATGTTGTGGATGCGGAGGAATAGACCAATAATTATCATGTTAAGTCCAATGGTGTCCTTGGACTTTAAATGGACATTTCCTATTGGTCGATATCTGTTCACTTGTTGAATATTGTACAAAATGTTGTTTTCTATTTTATGGTCGATGTGGTATGCTTGATTGGTATATAAACAAAGTATGTTTGAAACATAATGATTCATATCTCCGAGGCTGTGGCTTGTGTTCTGGACTCAACTGACTGGGCTAGACAGGGAAGCGCAAACCAATGAAGACTCTAGGCCGTCCGTACGTGTTTACGTGTCACTGTAATCGATCGATAAGTACGCTGCTCTCTAATTTTCCAGTCAAGGACACAACAATTAGCACAGGGTAAAAATCGACTGCAACTTTAAAGTCATAACAGTCAAATACTGTATCTTTCATTATTCTTATGTTTCTTCTTCTTACTATTAATAATCTATAAGTGTCTATGGTTTTCATTCAGTTTACATTATATTTAATTAAATAATAATATAACTCAGGGGCTATACAAACTAGCATCTGGGATAAAGTCACTAATCGATAATATACAAAATATCATAATGTTTACAGATTAATCTATCGTTTGATAATTCAAAATAAAATATCTCAGTTATTAATTCATGATTTAGCACAATAGACAAGAGGACGATTTAGAAACAATGTCATATATGTTAGACATCAATATATTTCAGAATATGATTTAATATATGTTACGAAGTAGATGCGGAATTATTTGTTACTAGTATATAAAAATTCCTTCGGTATTATCACTAAGTAGGATTCGTAATGCCAGTTTATTTAAATACTGCATTTTAACGATATGATTACTCATAAAATTGTTTTTTTGTACAATGAGATATTACAAAGGTTTGGTAAAAATCTCATGATTATAGTTAGATGTTGTTCAATAATGAACAGATTGAGATGGCTAAATAATCCAAGAAATATTTAAAATTTCACAAGGTAGATTGTGATTCATAAGCTAAACGAAGTTGTAAGTTAGAAAGTGTCAAATTTAGTTCAGAATGGTTTTACATAAAATAGGCAACTATTGGCTAATGAGTCTAGAAAAATAAAACAATTATATTTCACGATTTAAAAGTCTTGGCTACTGATTTGATTATTCAAAATACTTACCGATTTTTATTAATACCGTTCTCAATGAGATATCACATTTTTCCTACTCCGTTTGATAATGTTTTTTAAATCTTAATCTGCACAAGAATCAGCTGATACGTAGATATTTCATAGTTGGTACGCAAAAATACCAAAAAAGTTTATGGTATATGGTTAATCAATTAATAATAGACAACGTAGAACCTGACAAGAAATGTGGTATGAGCTCGTTATCAAACCTGATGAACACTATTTACAAATTTACTTTTAATAAACTTCAATGAACATTCGGGAAAAAGTCATTTAATCAATGTCATAGGTATCAATACACCTTGAACACAGAATATCCAGATAAATAATCGTTTATTTTAAATTTAGAGGAAAATTCTTCGAACTTTACGCAACACGCCATTCAGCTAATATTAGTATTTACAAAAAAATCTATTAAAGTTTGCAATAAAACTTCCTAGTATCGACTGCAATAAATGGGTAAAAGTTTGAGAATGAACTGAATTTTTATGCATCGGGCAAAGAGAAAAGTTAAGTTGTCATGAACATGACAGAATGTAAGACCATAATTGATTTTGAATATAAACCAAGTAAATATAAGATTATCCTTACTGGAATTTAATAAAAGAATGTATTATGTTACAAGTTCTAATAATGGTAAAGAATAAACTATTGTTCGAGATATACAGCTTTATGTGAACTTTAAGATCTCTTTCTTCTAGAGTCGCTCATGCTCTTTAGCTTATTGATTATAAAATATTACTTTATTTTGTTCCAAACATTTTGCTTCACTGTTGAAAATCTAAAACATGCTTGCGTGAAATCTTTACGTTACTGTGTCCATTTGTCAACCTTGAGAGTAATTGACAAAACAGATTCGCACTTCTTTCTATTCACAAAACATATGTAGAATAAGGGTGTATAGTTACTGCTTTGTGTCTTTAACAACCCAAATGAATATCCACTCCCATGTTGATAAAAATATTTGATATATACTTTGTTTTTCTAATTAATCATGAATTCTTGTACATTTACACTCAAAAAACAACAATACCTATTTACATATTTGCTAATTCATTAGAATAATTTCAAGAAAAGCGTTCAATGTCAACTAAATCATCACTTTCTAACGTAAACTTTTATCCTTAAATTTTATGTCAAACGATTTTTCATTCAGGTTACTTTTCTGGATTGATTACCTGTTCCTGTTTATAACAAGTAAGGATCATTAAAATGAGGCTTTATCAGATTGCTGTAAAAAGCGTTTATTGATTTGACATGATTATCTGATAACTCTTACAACTAACCAGATGAATGAATATTTGACAACAGAATAGTAACACCCTAAAGTATTACATACTGAAATATAACATCTACTACTCCGTATAGGAAAGTGTAACGCTAAGTAACTCTATAAAATAGTTTTTAAGAAAACTCATAATTTTTTAAAATTAATTTCTATTTACATTGACACAAAATTACTTAATTTTCACTTTGTAGACAATATTGATCAAATAAGTAAAAATAGGAGACAGAAAAAAATGTTACTAATGAAATATGCTTCTGTTTTCTTTTAGTGTTTCTTATATTTATGGCAAATCTGGTTTCCTTACAACTTGGACAAGTAGTCCAACTTTTGGTCAATCAATTTTATGTAAAAATATAGACCACTGTTATTATGGACAAAGTTAAATATAACCATTGGTGAGTGGGTTAAATGTGTTATGATTACTTAGAGGATAATTTTAATATGGTTTATGTAATTAAAATCAAACTGTCTTATATTTCTGTCTTCGAACAAACATCAGTCCTGAAGATAGAATGGATCGCTCACCAAGTACGTGAATAGATCGATACCTCTTATTATGCAAGTGACGTAGTAATGCTTACTGTTGTGCAGACTGTATTGAAATGGTCTTGGGAAATGAATCATATAAACAACTAAATTTGAAGTCAACAAAACCATAACTAGAAAATCACACTACCTGCGATTTATTGTTGAGAAATTATAATTTATAACATACTATGCCACTATTCAGATGTTCGTAACTGTTCATTTGAAGTCCTTCTGGAAACTTGACTTTTTTATTCAGTACTGTTTTTGTCTTTAAGGTTCACTACTCTAGTTCTTAGAGTAATATATTACTCAAGATATAAAATTTCCGTCCAAAAATTCTTTTTAGACATATCTTGGATAAACATACTTTCTCAGCTAGCGCAGACTTAATTTGAAGTTAGTTCTGGAATGCATAGGCTGTAGTTAAGATTTTCTAGTTAAACCTGTTTAATGAAAGCCTATCACATGCATTCTATGTGCTATGAGTACTTTTAGTGAAATGTGAATCTGGCATCCTTTGCTTTAGACACTAAAGTATCACCTATTTATTCATAAGGCCCTTCGCTTATCGACATATTATGTACCCTAAGTACTAGTTGTTTACGCAATTGGTATATTTTTAAGTACAATGTTATTAAATTTTTACCTCATTGTTATGCTTGTTTACTAGTTATTCATCGGCCGGGGAATTCAGAAAGATCTGAGTGACCATGCAATAAGAAAAATTCATGTTGTCACTTGAATGAAAAGATCGTATCAAATGATTGAGTATTCAATACAAGATAATAATCACGTGAATCAACAAAGCATTTTAGGTCCGTGTAACTTCAAAATACTTTGTCCATAGGATAGAAATTTATATCATGCAAAGACAAGAAAAAGTTTATCAGAACTATGTGCTATATTAACACAATGCATTTCCAATAATCTTAGCACACGCTTACTTGCTATGACATCTATGAAAAATGAAGGCCACACTAGATAAATTAGAAGTTAAGCAAAATAAGGATACTTTTCGTTTATAAATATTTATACAAGTAAGTGTGTGATCAGATTGCTTGAAATTTATAACGGAATGAGCGGTTTTATGTGTAAAGTCCCGTAAAATCATTGCCAATTAAAAGCATCCACGCGTAATAGATGCCTAAGTAGAGGCCATCACAATGAGCACTGCTAGCCGGCTAACTTGGTTGAAAGAAACGTATGGTTATAAATCCATTCATTAAGTTAGCCAATAGTAAAATGCAATTTAATTCCAAGCAAACTGGTGCATTGGGAAATACTCATTAGATAAAACTTAATTATTATTAACTAAGTATAGTAAGCATGGATAAGTGAAGAATTATAATGATAATTAAAGTGATTCCCTTGAAACACTGTTACCTTAGTTGCTTGGTTCTTTTGTTTCAATGACAGCATGTATATGCGTCAATCTTAATTACTTCTAATCACTTATTTCGCGCCCTATCCCTCTTATAATAATTTTCCGTCCCATTTTAAATATCCAATATCCAATCCACTAATTGATTGTATGTTGAATCCTTGTTTGCAATCATATTACGAAAATTTCGAACTATGAATTACAATTACTTTTTACGCTTCATCCGCTAAAATTTAGAGTAGCCTAACTGGTGCATGATCGATATTGATAGCATGATTTAAGGAAAGTTTAATTTACGCTTAACCCAGAATAAAATGCATTTATTACTGTAATTTTTGAGAACGATCATAAGAGTAAAATATTGTCTAAAATAACTCTAGACTGAACTTACTTTTTACAAGACGTAAAACTGCTAAAGAGTGAGTGCTTTCGGTGTTTTTGCTGACTGAGCTAAAAATCTTTAGTGTTTACCTTGTAACACAGTGAAAACGTATGTAGTAATTATTTGCTTTCGATTATTCGTCAATTCACGGTAGTTACTCCATTAAACATTTGGGGTCTAAGTTAGGATATCTTCAAAGCTGCTAAACTAACGTTAAGTTTAGAATTATACCAGTTATTCTAAAGTGATTGGAATTTACCACACATATAACATTAGAATCATCCCGACACGAAATCAATAAAACTGGTAAATAGATAAATAAATATCATTTTTACTGAGCAAAGCTGATTAAAACCTCTACTAGGTACTAAATACAATTATAAATCGAATTCATAAACTCAGTTAAAGAACGAAATATGATTTAGAGTAGGAAATTTTTCAGACAATGTCACTTTCAAAAGATATACAACTGTATTTTATATGAAAATACTGATGTGGTTAGAGAGGATTGTATGTTTTTTCCAAGGTTTGTAATGAATAGCATTCATGGAGTGAACTTTTTAACCATCAGTAAAATAGATTATTAATAAATAGGCAAAATACTATACTGGCTCGAAATTACGGGATATTCAAGAGACTAAACTCAAACTCATAATGAAATGCAGTAAAGTTATTCTCGTCAATCGACTTATATAGCCACCTTAAGCCTGGTGAGATATGATTGATTAACATCAATTTTTAAAAAAAAATCATTGTGCTGGACAGATATTTTCAATAAATAAGGTTTGCACACACATTGATCAACTTTTTGTACATTTCGCACAAGGAAAATTAAAATTAAATAGAATTTTAGATTTAAAAAAAACATGGCTTACGTGGGTTTCGATTTTTAATTGAATCTAAAGACATTAATGCAAAATTATCTAAACCCATTGAATCATAACCATCCGTGCATGAAGGCGAATTGATAATATTTGAAGTATTGATATGCTGAGACGGTTCATCGTCAACATTTGTTGTTGTTATTGATGTATACCTCAGCATTGAATCTTGTAGATCTGGATTCGAGTTATCAAATAAAATCCGATCGATTTCCTCAAACATTTCATGTACACGGAAAGATTGTTGACGATCAAACTCCTTAAAATGAAGTAAGGATATATTAGTATATTTGTGGGTAATTATTTGATTTCATGTTTAAAAAATTAAATGAAGACGACAACAGAACAATAAATATTCTTAAAAGGTAATGAATTATTGAAGTTAAAAGTCAGTTATGGAGATGGGACATTAAAAAAATGAAAGGCACGCAGAACTTTCGTAAAAATTCTTAGTCCCGCAGCTAACAAAAAAGTTCAACGAAAAAAATTGTAAAAAATTTGAATACAAAAGGTAATTTTTGTTGTTTATCCTTCATTAACAAAATAAATGATCTAAATTACATGACCTTTTTCTGTAATCTCACTCGGTTCACAATCATAATGATGTTCAGGTACCTGTGACCTGATTATATTACCGACTTTTCAAATTTATCTGTGCTAGCTTCAAGTAAATCCCAAATACGATCCTCAGATAGGTATGTAAGCTCTTCAACCCCATTTACTAAAAAGATAAGTTGACCTAAAAAAGTCATCGACACATTCAGTTTAGAATAAGCTAGTGAAGTTGTCATCTAACTTTTTTTCAACATCAAATCACAACCTTATATATGAAAATTGTTGTCTCAAAAAAAACAATACAAATTTTGAAAAATTCTGTTAATAGTGTGTATTCATCTGAGGATAACATTTTGTACTAGTCTGGTATTAAAAGTTGATTAATCTGTCTCATTAAATTATTCACCACAGAGAACAGAAAAGATTCTCCTGTATGCCATACATGCATGTATGATCTCATGTACCTAGACAAACAAAAAATGCCCGTTTTCTTTATTAGTTTTTAAATCTGAATATAAATTATAAGTACAGACTCAACACAAAATGTTTGACTACTGAGCCAATAAAGTCTGCTTCAGTCAATTTAGAAACAGAATCTTTAAAAATATAAATGGAGTAACTGTTTCAGTATTTTATGAAATTTTTTATTAGTCCAAATATCTCGTTTTAACATAAACAGAAAACTCACACAAAAATTAAAATAGAACACAAGTGTAATTATTCCGTTTCTCAAAGTAATCTACAATTTACGCCATAATGGAATAGAATAATTAAGAAACACCCATATGAGGTCGAGGAGATCATCGAGTTTTTGATTGAGATCATGAATCGATCAAAGTTAGATTATTACTGAAAACCTGGAAGAACTGAACGTCTGTTGTGTCCTAATATGGGACTCCTCAACAATGCGCATCCAACATGCAGGTTTTCAATGGTGGTCTAACATTGGTCGATTCATGATCTCAATCAAAACATTTAAATTTTCCCTCGATATTTATTGTTTATTAACTCTGGTAAAATTTAAGAAATTTATCAACTCCATACTAAATATACAGATATATATTTTAAAAGGTCTTCAATAATCAAATTATTAATCACTAATTTGTCAAGCGAATATATTTTGTTTGACCAAAATCATGGAACTTTTTATTAAAGTTGCGAAAAACAGATTAAGCATTGATAAAAATTTGAATAACTTGCCGAATGTAAACCTTAATTTATCTATTGTTTTTAAGTGTAAATTAATAAACTGAGATCAGTATTAATATGTTTATTTGAGAGAAAAAAGTTGAAAAGCGGCCTAAATTGTTGAACGAAACAATCCCTCAGATGTAATATATTATTACTTAGGAAAACATTATTTTGAGGAACAAGAAGTTGCCTACAGGAGTATTCTTCGACAATTTCATATAGTTGGAAAATTATGTCACGAACAATTATAGCCAGGTTGACAAAGTAATCCTCCTTTAATCTTTAAAAAAAAATAAATACTATGCATCCTAACACAGACGTTACACTCTTTTTATAATTGCCAATTTTCAGTATTTCGAAAGCCGATTACGTAGGTAACATAATTTAGATCAGCAATTAAACTAGTAGTTAGTTTACAATTAATGTACCGTCATTATTCAGCAGAAATCAGTACAATATTCTTAGTACCTTTAAATTACTTACTACATAAAAATGTACTATTATGGGGCATTTCCGTAGTACCACGAGTGTCGGATATGTCTAGTCAGCCAAGGTTTTAATACTAACTCGGAATCAAGAACTTCCAGTTTTTGGACGTGTGAAACTAGTTTTATGCTCACTTACTGAACACTGAACGTTGCCTTGAAATCTATTACAACAAACCTGAGGAAACAGGTTTTTAGAAAAGGGGATATATATACTCAGGTTTTCAGATACAAAATGTTTATTAATGATCACAACCGCAAAACATATGTCCAGAGCATTCTTTGAACTGCATTAATGAAAAATTTATATTTCTCTAATCAAAAGTATATGACACGACACACTCATTAAAAATCAAGGACAAAACTCACATTTGTTATTTTTTGTGGATTTATGTTATTATTTGTTGTATTTATATAATCGGCCACATTTCTGATATTAAATCATTCGTTATAATTCCTTATCAAGTAAAAGAAGCTTGGTTGCTTAGATACACACAAAGTGTATATTTTTAACAAAAACCTAACTGAACTTTAATTTAATTCTAAAACAATGCATATTAGTAAGAATAGGTTTCTTCCTATTGTATAAAATAAATCATCTTCCTTTGTTTTATCAAAGTATCAATTAAATGTTATGTATACATTTCAAAAGTGCTTTTAATGATTTGTCCACAACGTTACTTAAATCTTACAGAAACTAGGCCATATGAGTCTGTGATAGGATACCTCTTTACATCCATATATATATAATCAACATAAAAACTTATTTACAAGAACGAATTGTTGACACAGGACTCTTTTGGACGGTTTAAGTACCGTTTAATGTAGTATGGACCTATGACATTATGGAAAAATAAAATACATGCTAAATACAGACGTATAGGAAGACGTCTGTTTGAAATGTTCAAGCAGTGTTGATGATGAGCGAAAACATTTGGGTAAAAACTTAGGTCAGTCCGTGAGATCACTGATCTGAGAAAAATAATTTGTTTACTAAACGTAAAACCTGAAGAAATTGCTATTCATACTGAAATGTTAGGTTTGGTCTGATTTTTAATTTGATGCATATGAACACATTCATGCTTTTTAGTTTATTACTAGGATATGTTATAAATCAATGAACGAAGACTCTGAGTACTATGACCAGAAAATTATTATAAAAGTCCAGATAAGTTATTTTCCTTTACTTCAAGTTGTTATTAATCTCTTCTGATCATTTCTGAGCTTAACTTCATTATTTTTCTCCCTTTGTTTCTCTTCTATTTTGATGTCCAGAAATATCTAGACTTTAACCAACTCCCAATTTCCGAGTCTCTTGTGTTGGCAAATGGTTTGATATCTTTGAGGCAATTAGTATTTATGGTTGACCGCTGTTAGAATAGGATGAACCTCTGAAAGCATATGGCTCTATTAAGCATTCTTCCGTTAATTATCTTGTTTACCTACTAAGTAAGCATTTACTCAATATGGTTGAAAAAAGAGTTAATATGAAGCAAAACTTCTTTTCTTTAGTAATGCTGAACATAGACTTCCGATAAACCACTCTGGATTACTATTTGACTAGTAGATATGTAAGGTCAAAGAATAAATACTTATCTATATGCATTCTAGAAACATTTTTCCGTACAGTATGTCAATATGTATAAGTATGCGGTATCCTTTAAACTGTAAATCGATAGTACCCGAAACTTCTTATTATTTTGTAAATAAAGTAAGACTGAGTAACTTATATCTTATAGGGAAAGATACCTGGATCTCAGTCAGTTAGTGGTCTTGAGTGCTGTTAGAAGTATGAGGATGGTTTTCACTTCCCGGTCGCCCACACAGTGGAACGGTTCTCCTAGAGGTACCTGAAAAGGAAATTGGGTTAGAGGTGGTCTTAGTGACCTGAGAGCATGACCACAACGCCCAAGGGACAACTTCTGGAGGGTGATCACACACGACCGTTTTGTGGATAATTTTTGTGTTAGCTTTGTACTTGTTGAGACTTTGCCACCAGGGATATTCGCGGGATGAGGTGAAGTATGCATTTTCATGGTCGGCCTTTTCTAACCCCACCCCTTCTTGTGAGAAGACAGCATCGCTGTTATGCTGGTTGTCTGAAAGAAAGACCTTACTGTCGTTACACCTCTGTACAGTCAGCAGTACGACTTCGTCCTCGGACCCTGGGTTTGCTGCTTTTAGTCTAACCGTTCTTCAATCGACGTACCTGGGATGATATGACCTTGAGAAACGATTGTTTCGGTTTGTATAGCCCGAAAGGTTCATCACGATAGGTAAGCCCGATCACCATGTCAAAGTGGCAGCAACAGACCTGGGTCTTAAATGTCATTATTGTGTTTGATTGACTTGAGTGAATAGTCACTAGTAACTAGATCAGCTAAACATAACAGTGTATCATAAAGTATTAAACCCTTAATCGTTGGCTGAGGGTTGTTTCATACCCTCTAGTAATTTTAGCCTTGAGTTACTAATATCTGACTTTACGTGATTAGCTTAATTTATTGGTTAGACTATGTAAGATAGTGATGTTCACTTGATTGATACTGGAACTCAGTAGTAATAATTTAGTCTGAAATAAAATGGATGGGGCGGAGTCGTAGGATCTGAATATTCAAACCATGTCTAACCATCCGATTATGGTTTGATTATTTACGATATCTTAGAAATTGGAATTTAAGTATTTTACATTCATTATTCATTTTTTTCTCTTGAGAATAGCTTATTTTTAAAACGAAAGGGAAAAAACGATTTTTTGTGAAATACAATTCCATTTTATGTAACTAATAATTTTAAACTGAAGCCAACTGCTTGCTACTTTTAAAAAACAACCCTCCATTTTCTAAGACCGATGTCAATCTGTATATTTTATCTGCCTGATAAAAATTACTCAGTTATAACCAACAAAAGTTCAGGGATTAGGAAGTATATACAAAGGTTTACTGCTATGTTATTGGTACGAAAAGTTAACAAAACACTCGAACTATGTCTTTTGTGCATGACTTAAACTTTGAAAAGACTCATTGCTAAGTTTTAAATACAATGTTATGTTTATGTACAGATCTGTAAAAAAAACGCTTCACTAAGTTACTTCATAGTGAAAATTATCTCCAGACAAATTTGTGAAAACTAATGAATTAATAAAAATATGAATGTCTTCTAACTACTTACACACATATCATCACCCCATTCAGATGAAGAAACACTACCCCAATCTGTTACATTTGTAGAGTTAATATCATAATACTTGGCAGCACTAGAATTTACGTTCTCATCAGATTCATTATCAATTAACTGCTCACTCGGCTCGATTTTTGAACATCGATAATATTTCGAAGCATTGATGTTTGTTGGTTTGTTGTATGTTTTGTGATTGCGATTATTATGTTTTTTTATAGAATACTCTGAACTGATTGTATTTAACTCATTTGAAACACGTTTAGCTTTCCCATTTGATTTCTGCTCATTGAAATCAATGCTCTTTCCTGACCCAACTACTACATTAGTTGATTGTTTTATAAAAGGCTGTGAAGATAAATAGCTGTTGACGTATCCTCGTGGAGTTGAATCTATCGCTTCTTTTTTATTATGTAATGTCGTAGAAGCATTGTTACACTGCATTAACCATGAAGATAACTGACTTCCATTCAATGAAAGATAATTACTACACTTAGAATGATCAGATTGATTAACTGACACCTTTTTTACCAGTTCTGACTTGCCAGTTGTCAAGCTAAGAGCATGTTTGTAATCTGGTTTACTTATATGACAGTTATTATTTAATTTTAAAGGATTATAATTGTGTATAGAATATTTTTTCTCAAAACTGCTAAAAAAATCCTTTTCATCTTTTCTAATTATTGAACGTTTTAACCTATGTGTATTATTTGTAGCGGCTGAAGTATAAGTGGTGGACGGTTTTACATCAATTTGAATGTTTGTTATTCTATTAAAATTTAAATGCTTGGTTTCTTTGTCGTTAACCGATTTAAGAGAGAACTTGGATATGCAAGCAGATGGTGTGATGTTTACTAATTGTTTCTGATTACTTTGTTGGCATTTCGAAGCACAACTTTTTACATGAGGCAGCTCTTTGCTTAACTTCTTCATTTCTTTACTACTTGATTCGCTTTTATGCCAACCACGTGCTGAAGTTCTATTTGGCAGCGCAGGAGCTCGGGGTACATCTCTATCATTAGGCTTGCTAAAATATAAATTCAAAAATATACAGATTTATTATAATCAATTTTGAACAATAGCCCTATTGAATTCGGTAATCTAAGCTTATTTATTTATTAGCAAATTTATTTCACAATCAGCGAATACATAAATTGCTCTTGTTTTACAAGTAAACAATAAACAATGGTTTTACTAGATAAAACCACATATTAACTAAAGATTTTATTTGATTGTAAAATTAGTAAACTTCTTATATATGTCCAGTTCACTTCAATACCTGCTCTTTAACTAAAAGAAAACAGAAATAATCAAACAAAGCAATCCGCAACTAATATGAAGTTTGACATATGTTCTTTAGATCCTTAGTTCTACAAATAGTTAGCCGCCGAAAAGTGTTTCGAAGGCAAATAAAAAAGAAGAGTGAATACGGCAGTATTGTCTGTCACGGTAAAAATCATTGTTTCTTATACTAATCATTTCTACTGGCAAGTTTAATCTGATTGCTTTACGTCCGTAAGCAACAAGTCTGATTAAAGTATAAAGTTATCTGATCTATTTTACTGCTTATCCGAGTACGTATATTTAAATCAAAAGGGATGGATGTTACCTGAGATCAATAGCCTAATTCATAACTAGATTTTAGGAGTTTGAAAATGAAGTCTTAGATGATAATCAAATTATAAGATGAAGATTGCTATTTATTAGCGCTGCTCGAAAAGCGTGTTGAACGGTAGAAAATAGTGCTTTATGGATTGAAACCATTGGGTAATCTTAGAAGAATCCTTGTCTAAAACTTTCAAATAACTGCAGTTTATTTAAGTAAGGTGTCATATCAGTATCTTTTAGGAATCAAGCACTTTTTCAAAAAGAAACCGACCACCATAAATATGAATATAAGGCAATTAACTTGGCTAGTTAAACAAATGATTCGATTGGTAGTGGTTTAATTTTTTAGTAAATCTTTAAAGTAGGTATACTGTGTACTTTGTAAGATCCTTCAGAGCACTTCGAAAACTATGTAACTTAAAAGTTTTCTGAAAATATGGGACTGTAGTTGACAAGTATAAGCGAAATATGATGGAAGTTGTTAGATGAGAAAGATCATTGATCAAAATGGCTAGTTAAGCATAAGATACTTCTCCTCATAGGTCAGTAAGTAAAACGCTGTTATAAACTATTTTATGCCACAAAATATAGTGATGTATACGTCTACAAAGACCTGAAAAATGTGATTGAATAGAAGACCATTAGCTACATTTACATTTTCTGCAGTCGGAGAAACCATTGGGAAAGTGAGAAAGCTATGGGATATAGAAGGTAGGTATGAGTGAAGTGAGATTAACCATGATAGCAGTATTTCGAGAAAATTCAATTATCGTTCCATAGCGCTTTTTCGTTCTGGGTCAGAATTACATTACTAAGTTTTAGTAATACAGTAACTAATAGAAGATGGGTTGCAATAATCGGACATTGAAAGTAATTGAGTAGGAAACTAATCAAATGATCTGACGATAATGTTTAACAACCCACTAAATTCTCGATTTAAAATAATATGATATGCATAATAAACATCACGAAAAGTCTTAGAGTTATCAATATTCAGAAGTGCTAAAAGTAATTTGGTTCACGAACCAAACATTTGCTTCAATAAATCATTTTTATTAATTGCTGTTAGTTCGTACTTCACTTGGTCACGAGTGATTTAAGGGAAGCTGAAAAATGAGTTTACGTGAATCTTCAATACCTATTCTAGAACTTTCACTTGCCTTCTACAGCCATGGAGTATGAAAACTACGGATTACAGAAAGGTTATGTCTATATCTCCCTGAAATGGTCATATTCTTAATAACCTTCAGACACACTCTTATCCTATCTGAGATAGTATTTCAAGATAAGCAATACATGAACATGATTGACATACGTTCAAATCACCGTGATCTAAAATGCGTTAATGACGTTTTTGTCGTCCTACTTTTAACTTCATCATTACCAAAATATTAATCCAGCAAAAGACAAAACTGTTTCAAACACTCCTGCGATAAAATGCTAGTTATTTGAGCAAGTATATTTTCAAAAGATGTAAGTGCTCAGTGGTATTCGACTTGTAGCAAACGATGTTTCTGTATGTTATTAGTGAAAGTAAAGTGGACAAAGTCACATTTCTTAACAGAAACTTGCATGCCTCAGCCAAATGGTCGGGCGCGTCGACAACATCACTTATCTTAGAAGTCTGATCAGCCCTAATGGGTTGGCGCCTGACGAAACCTCAGCACGGATTCGAAAAAATCTACTGGCTTCTGCAAACTTGCGTCACCTATGGCAAAGGCGAAATATTCGTCTATCGATTAAGGAACGAGTATACTGAGCAGCAGTTCACTCTGTTCAAATTTACGACTGCAAAACTCGGCCATTAAGAAAAGAAGATACTCGTAAGTTACTAGTATTCGATCACATATGCCTTAGAAATATTGCCAGCATCTGCTGGGATCACCGGGTAAGTATTAGTGAACTTAGACGCAGGGTAGTAGGGAATGATGGTAAATCAGTCGATGAGGTTGTAAATCCTCATCGACTAAGATGGTTGGGCCACGTGTTGCGTATGCCTGAACACCGTTTACTACGACGCGTAATGCTGACTAGTATTGGGGATGGTTGGAAGAAAGTTAGGGGCGGCCAAATCAAAACGTGGCATCAGTGCTTGAAGTCACCATCTTCTAGTCTGAGTCGTGTTGGTAGATGCAGACTACTTAGTTGGGGTCCGCGTGACTATCGTAACCAATAGTTGGAGACTCTCGGTGATATGGCTCAGAACCGATCACGATGGCGTAGATGTATACACTCTCTGTCCTCCGTTAAGCTATGAGATTAAAATCACTTCATATCTTTCTTTCTACGAGCTAATTATTTCTTCCTGTACTATAGCCTTATACGGAAACTTTCTTCTATATATTACTACCATTGAAGTAATTTTCTAATGAATTTGGTGTTCATCTTGTTGTGCTAATGAGGTGTGGCAACTTGCATATATGTTCCTGGTCCTACGTTGTAGCTGACTGACTAAATGGTATCTTTTTCACGTAATAAAAGTTTATTACAAAGGTGGAACATATGAGATAGATTTGCATGTCAAGTACTCGATAGTGCATCAGCTTAGCTATAATTGGTAAGGAACCTTCTAAAACTAAAATTCAAAAGCCTTTTATATAACTTAAGTTTCTTCTAATCAAAATTAAATACTGGCCAATTACCAACCTTTTATACCGTACTATTTTGTAGCCTTAAAAGCACGAAAACTAGACGTATGAAGTCTTGAGAAAATAGGTAAGCGTAAACTGCTAACCACATAAAATTAGTAAGGGTCACTGGAGAAACGAATACAAGTCTTTACAATAGCATGTTCTACACGGACTTTCGGATACTTTTTGGACACAATCTGATTTGCGCTTTCGAACATACCAGTCCTGTAACATACTTTAGCTGAGTAATTTCGAGAGACTGGGACAATGTAAACCCATACTAATGACAAAATAATCGACGCGTAACGTATAACTTTTCTGAATAATAATCATTTTATACCATAGTAAATGTTAGGATCGATTGCGACCAATTTTTCGGTAGATAATGTTTAGTTTTGAGCCATTTCTCAAATATGCACTTCGATATCCTCGAGGTTGATTACAGCCGTACGACACATAGGAACGTAAGTACGGTCTTTCAACATATATTTCGAAAACTTTTACTAACTTATGTATTTTAACCCGATTTCTTCGCTGCATTGCCCTTAGGCTTTTCCACACTACAAAAGCTCTAAATGGACTTAAAAAATGATACTTTTATTAAACCTTGTTACTGTGACCATAATATAATTTTTATCAGATCTCTAATTGAAAACTTTGAAAGTGTCGACTTTCGGTGTTTATAACATTAAAACTAATACAGCAACTACTTTATCAAATTCCATTAACACTTAAGACTTTCCGATGTACCATAGATAATTTTAGATGAGTTACGTCATGCATTTTGCAACAAGTTACTTGTTCATCACCTAACAGGTTTATGAAGACTGACTGACTCACGGCCAAGGGTGCTCACAATAAGATATTTATATGTAAAATAACACTCAAGATCAGCTCTGTCCGTTACTGTAAAATGTGCCACTACATAAATGCATCAGATAAATCTAAATGAACGTTAATTAAACCCAGGGTTAAACTAAAAATAAGGTCACGCATCTTTCCTCGAACGACAGATGAATGAGACGCCTTACAAATATAAACGGTATTAGACACTTTAATTACCAAGATCATAGAAAAGCCAGAACTTCACATATATACACACTGAAAGTAAAATGATGAGGCCCGAAGCCATCATTTAAATAAAAAAAAGCAGGTCTTATAGGTACATTTCAAATGTACTAGGTCAACCACAATTTCCAGTAAAAAAATATGACTGTAAGTTATGTTGATGATTGAAGAAACTGCTGTGAACGACACAAACATATTTAAGCTACCAAATTAAGCTATTAGTTTATAGCTTCCTATTTATCATAATCTAAATTTCCCAAGTAAAGACAACTAATAGAGACCGATGGAAAAGCTCTACCTGGGTGCATCACGTGAAGGATAATAAAAACAGTTGGTGAAATTAAAATCGAGCTCATATGAAATATCGAGTTCAGTCAAATTTTAGAGAATTATTGAATAAAATGTTATAAAGTGTTGTAAGATCCAATAAGACTACCGACAAGAAGCGCCACATCATTTCAGCCGCATGACTTTACAGTCATCAACCACGCACAAATTTAAAGAAGCTTTCTTCACTATAGATATTTGATATTTCTTGGGTTCCACCTACTTCGCTAACAGTTTCGAAAAATATGACATGAAATACAAAGACCTCAAATGTATAAGTGAGTTCATGAGTGCAAATTACATTGAAAAAGTATTAACTTACAAACTAGAGATCTGAGAATATTTTTTATTTCCAATGCTCATTTATAAACTGTACGGCACATATGACCCGGCGTCGTTGGAAACCTTTTCAAAATAACGCCTAGAGTAGAGGTCGCATAAAACAAGCACCTTATGTTCAACACTGAAAAGTGAACGTAATCCATATGATATCCCTCAAAATCACGTTTTTTCGTCATTTCATTTGAAATAGCTTGCAAAATACGTTATTTTGTACCTTCGATTTTCTGTATCTATTTATATATACGATTATTAACCTAACGTTTCGTGAACTAGACATATTAGAACACTCCATAAAATATCTGCATCTTTAGCATCGAAGATTCAAATCTTTCTTTTAGATTTTCATAACTCAGTTTTAAAGGCCAAATTCTTTTGGCCATTTAGTGCATAGTCGTTTGTTTTCGTCCCCTTGGATTACAATGTAATATTTCACATTATTCGACTAAAAGAAAAAAGTTTTCTCAAAATAATAACAGCGAGATTTCTCATACCCAAGAATAATAGTTTTTACGCTCAAACACTTGTGAAAATGAAGTGCGAAATATTGAGTGATCTGGAGTTAATCATCGGAGTTGATGATGGTACAGTAAGGACCATTAGGTGTGGTATGACAGGACAGAAGGAATATAAGTACCGACATTTCTGATTTCCTTCAAAAACTGCCATAGTATTTCATCGTTAACTGACATCATATTTAATGCTAAAATTGTATTAAGCCAAATGCGCAAGTAAATTTCGCGTCAAAATTCAAGATCTGTTAACTTCGATCTGGTTCATTTGCCCAACAATTGTAGTCTCACATACAGTCGTTCACAAAAACCATTTATAAGGTGAAAATTCTGCGGATCAAAAGTAATCAACTCGGATGAAAAAATGCATTGAAGATGTAACAGATCAATCACGAACGCTAGGTTTAGTCTTTTGTTTTTGATCGATCCCGGTAAAATGTGCAAAGCTGAAAAACAATATATAGTTTTGAAGAACAAAACATTAGTTACGACCTATGGGATTTCACATGTTTTGCCAACATGATCAAAAGACAACAACATAGGTTTTCAAACAAAATACTGCTCTGACAGATTCATCAAATGAATTAAAATCTATGAAATTTCTCAATAAAATGCGTTATCTAGTCATTAAATCAAACAGGGGATAAGATTATGCATACCAGAAATTATGCGAACGGTTTGAGTAAATGAATCAGCGAATATATTAACTTTAAGGCCTATGTCTGGGTAGAAGCTCCATAGCTCAGTGTTAAAGTCGTGTTGCTTGAAAATGGAATGACGAAGAACGAAGACAAAAAATTTGATATGAGCTGTAAAAACTACCAATTCGTTTAGAGCTTGGCATATAAATGTATGTTCATTCATTTGCTAAAATCCCGAGCTAAATGTTGCAAAAATAACGAACTATCGCTGAACAAACTACAAGTGAGTCACAAAAGCAAATTGTAGAGTGTGTTGAGGGATAACTAAGTAGAACAGATCCTATATAATTGAAGATCAGCTGCGGCATGAAGAGGGATGGCGTTATGATTTTAAAATCCTGATAGTAATTTATTCGCCAATCGAAAGACGACTCATTCACTCCAGTGCTGCATTAAACTATTGACGATCGACCGGTCTGATCAGCCTAGCGTCCTTATCGATGCTTTGCTCGTCGAGCCCATCTAGTCGAGTCCAGAACACGAATAACAGCTTCCGCTTTGCGAATCATTTACTTCAGACATATTCGATTCACATACCAGCTAAAAAACCACATCGCATCATAAAATAGGAAATAACAATTATACACAATAAAGCCGAAAAGAGGTTGTGAACGTGGGAGACAGTTATTAAGAAACTGAACATAACCTAAGAACAGTAAATCGTATAATCATAATCTATAGGTCAAAATAAAGCATATAATAGAGGAAATACAGATATACATATTCTAATTACTGAATAGTTACGTAATAAGAATATATAGATAATATTAGTCGATTAATAGGTATCAGAAGTTACTCGTAATTTAATCAGTCAGTCCGTGATATTGAGGTTGTTCTCCTACGCTCACCATTCAGACACATGTTTCCAATCTTATTCTAGATTAGCTATTCTACTAAGACAACCGATAACATGCCAACCCGGACTTTTACATTAACACTGTGTGGCAGGCATCGGATGAAAAAATCAGAAAATAAAAGATATAGTTACTAATTTTCCTAACACTTTACTCTCTATATGCACTTCCTGTTCTGACAAACAACCCTCCTTATTACAACCCTGACTTCCCTTCCTTCATTTGAACTTACTCCACCTTGATAAATATCACAACTCATTGTTCTTTACTACTGCATTTTCTCATTTGGAGCCTCTCATCACATTTCACTCGGTTTACAAGAACTAGTACGAATTTAGTCTAATAATTTATAACACCTCCGTCTGTTCCACTACAAACCGTTAAGTATTGTTTATCGTCCATATCAAAGTGCCTTGCTGCTCCTCGGTCTCTCTTTTTTTCAGACTCTTGCTCTGAGGGCACAGCTATGAAACTTCTTACATCTGGAACAAACTAGACGCACATGTTTTCCCGAGGTCATAGTTCACACCAAGCACTCTACAAGTCTACTTTATAACAACTACAAACTTAAAAAGCTGCATTGCATAAATACATAGCATGACCAAACTCCTAACACAATTATGCCGAGATTGGATCTGGTGTGTAACGTGGACACGATGGCACTTTGGAGAATATTTTGAAGACTACTCAGTATATCTGAACGAATGAATTGATATTCACATTTTTAGATTATATTTTTTTAAAATGCATACGGTGAAACAATAAATGTTGGAATTTGTAGATCATGCCTGTAAAAATGGCGTGTATCTTCCCTTGCAGAAATATATTATATTATATAACAGATTAGTATGTATGTTTATTTCAAAAATGTAACAAAGGAATGTAAGGTGTCTTATAACACGAATAACATTGTCACTGTCATAATTGTTCACGTGTCATTTCCTTTTATCAGATGACAACCCTTTATTCTTGACTTGACAGTTTGAAATTGTACATCGTATATTGTGTTAGTAGAATAGCAAAGTTGACATAAGGTTAAGAATATGAGGTGCTGAATACGCAAACGTCAAAAAGTAGCTTTAATGTCATTGAACAGTTGTCTTTACTCTAATTGTAAACAACCTGCGACAAACAAGATGCTCAGTGTATTAGACATAGGTGTATTGAATCATTACCCTAATGCCTAGTGCTTGGTGGTCGGTTACTCCATTATTCCCCAATTTCTGACGTTAGAATCTGCTGAGGAGAAGATTTACTACTACTGTTCACGAACGTCTTATGGGTACGTAAGTGTTGTGAAAAAGAATTTCGGGTTTCTTCAAAAATGCAATAATACACAAGTATCAATAATGTTAGCACTGTACTTGTTATACTTGAAAAAGAGGAAAAATAGTGATAATTGAATAATAATAATAATAAATCAGGTTCTGTGTAATTGGGGAGAATAATGAATTACTTTAAAGTGGGAAAGGGAGAAAATACGGAAATAGAAATAAAGGAGACGTCATATACGCAAATAGCTTAATAAGCATATTTGTGAATGCAAAACAAGAATAAATGTCTATGTGTGTATCGTCTAATTGGTAACAGAAACAAAATAGAACATAATTAAGAAAAAATAACTTATTATTGTAGTAAGATATGACGTTGAAATAAGTGTTTGTTGAGTCATAGGTTAGAGTGATTTTGTGGAAGTCTAAATTAAGTGAAAAGGATAACCAAATATCCATATGTACCAGTCATATTTGCATAGTGAAGATAAAAGGAGTCTGAGGTGTTACATTAAGTGCAACACAAGTTATTGTCGTAAAAATAATATTTATGTGGAAGGAAAAATGAGAGAATTAGTCCTTTCCAACTAATCTCATACCGAATATCTTGGGAAAGATAATGACAATCTCAATACCAAACAAAGTATCCGGTGATAAGAATATCAAGTTTAAACCAGTAGCAATTACTTCACATTTTCTCTGGACAGTAGAAAAATATTGCTACTCACACCTCGACCTGCACTAAAAGAGCTCATTGATAAATCTCATTTTGATTACAAATGCAAGTAAACATCTTGGTTCCTGCTGTTGTACTGAATCCTGATATGGTGACTAGATGAGAAAGATGTGTAGTGACCTACTTTTACCAAGAGAACGTGATTGATTCAACGATAACAATTATTAATAATTTAACCAGTTGTACCAGTGATTGTTTTACTGTGCTCGTTTGTTTAACTGCGCTAATGACAGCTATAATGCTCTTCCATTATTCTCCATTGCTGTGATGATGTCACAGGTATTCAGTGTTTGACAACGCTTCTACCAGTAACACCTTCTAATATATTTCGTTCCCGCCCAGAGAAATCAAAAGACAGAGTCGAGGAGATCGGAAGAGTATATTTGGCGATGACCAATATATCGGAATTCTCTGATCTAATCTGGCTAGCGATTGCGGTTGATGTTGAGCACGGTGTTACCACACGTGATCTGGTGCGGATGCCTGACCGAGCGCCTTCAGCTAGATGAGTCCACTAAAACATATGGTCAGCATCCAATGTCGAAAACTTACAGAGCTATTTATTTTAGGGATTTATTTACCGCTACAGATCACTCCCCCCCTAGTGGGGCAGTGACGACCCTAAGACGTGGCCAGCCAGAAGTTTAAACCCAACGAGTTTGTCGTTGGTAAACACTCTTCTGATAGCTTACTAAATTTAGCAGCGTCTGGTCGTCTTTCCTTACTATATGGGACGGAGGTACAACATAGTAAAAAAAGAAAATGTACAATGAAAATTTCGGATCCTCATAAACGTCATCGTTCTTTTCCAGCCGTCCTGGAAAAGAAAAAAGAAAATGTAAGTGCATGTCGAAAATACACTCGTATGTGCGTAAAAGCACAATGTCGGCGGATAAAAAATGGAAAATAAACTCATGAACACGCAATAGCGTTAAAAAAATTGTTTTTTTTTGTTTTTGTTTTTTAAATAGAAATAAAAAATATATAAGCATATTAAAATTGTTTTTTTT